ATCTTAAGAAACATAATTCTGAACTCAGTGCATTTTAGTGAAGTGTTTGTGCAGCTTCATAATAATAATATTGTTCATGAACCAGTTTGGGTAAATACTAGTTTCTTTGAAGATGAGAAATTTGTTGGAGGTGTATCTGTTGGAGTAGTGTTGATGCTGCTGCCATCGAGCACAGCTCACAGTGAGAGGTGCAATGCCCTGTGTTGAAGTGGGTGGTGATTTAGCTATAGTGCTGCTGGGAGACACAAGCACTCAGGCACCCAAAGCTTTCTTCAGGTCACTGAAAATTTATCTCCTTTTTCCAGCTGACCTAGCTGTCCTGCTCAAAGACATGACCTTGCTTCTAAACCTTGTTCTGCTTCTGTGCCAGCACAAATGGTGACTGTGTGTGGAGGGTGCACTTGAGCAGCTTCAGGAACTGCAGTGCTGTCACCAAATCCACATCCCACACTGAACCACTGAAGCTGTTGCATCTGATGTTGGGTGTGGGAGAATTTATTTCTCTACTTCATTATGCCCTCCTTTTTCTCACCAGGCTACTCATGTGGGTTTCAGTCCCTGGTGAGTATACTAGTGTTTTACATAAATAAAGACTGGGACTCAGGTCCTCCTTTGGCCAGTGGTTTCTCTTCTCTGGGAAGGCAGCACTCAGTTTCAGACAGGCATGAACCTGGTACACCTGTATTTTGTGCAGGACACGTAGATGAGGGTGAGGTGAGGAGCAGTGCAACGTGCTCTGCTGGTCGACGTGCTTTGTTGGTTGTCCTCAGCGAGTTTTGGGCTGGATGTGGGTGCTCACTCCCCAACCCTGTGAACCCTGAAGGCGTTATGTAGGTTGCTCAAAAATGTTGATGGGTTTATATATGCCTAAGGCAGTTGGTGCCTCAGGGTTTGGGCTGCAGCAAACTGCAATTTGGAAGACTTTAATTTGTCCATGATTATCCCTGAGGGTCCAGCGATGATGAGCAGACAGATAATTGGAGACTGCTGTTGTTGGGTGGTGTTTTGAGGAACTGTGGTGAGGAGGGTGTATTTTCATGAGCACAGCCTGGTTTGTAGGTCTTCCCAGTCTCATAGGGAAGCAGAGGGTGTGGTGGTGCAGCTCCTAGGAAGTCAGTCCTGTGCCTCCTGCCTCCTTGACAAAACGCAACTTTTATGTGTGTAAGTACAAAAGACACTTGCAGAAGCTTCTTCAACTCTCAAACATGTCCCACAGCCCAAGGAAACGACAGCATGACCTTGCCTATGGTAGTAGTTCCTTTTCCTACCCTGTCCCACCTACTTCCTTAATGCATCCATGTGAACATCTGTGTCCTCTCCTGCCTTTTATGATCAGGTTTTAACTTTTTGTTTCAAAGCCAGCTGCCATCCACTTGGAATCTGTTACTTGCTGAAGTATTTTTCCTCCATCAGATAAAGAGGACTTCTCAGTGACCCTATTTTGAGGTCTTCAATGGTGCTCTTTACGAGTTGAGCAGATACAGGTTCCTCATCCTTCAACAACTCTTGTATATTTTTTCCTGCATACCCAGGCTGTGCAATCACCATTCTACACTTTTGTATCTGGCTGTAGTCTGGCTCCTGTGCTGATCTCTGCTGAAGGACTGCTTACCACAGGTCATTGCCCTCTTGCACTGACTCTTACTCTTCCTGCCCCTCCTTTTGTCATCAGACCTGGCTGACCTGACGTGATGACTGGCTTTGCTGTCCTTTTGCTGTCCTTGCCTTCAAACACACCTTTCCTTCCCTCTCTATCTTGTTTGTCAGTCACTGCACTGTCTGAGTGCCAAAGATACTTGGGTTTGATCTATAAAATGCTCTAAACTCCACCACCACCTTGGTGGTGCCAAGCAGTAGGATGAGAGGCAAGGGACAGAATCTGGAACACGGGAAATTCCACCTGAATATGAGGAAGAACTTATTTACTCTGAGAGTGACTGAGCACTCTGTTGGTAGGCATCTGTGACACCCATCACCAGTTCAAGCACTGGAAAACCAGGATGAGGACCTGTTCTGTTTAACATCTGTAACGATGATCTGGACAAGGGGATTGAGGGCACCTTCAGTCAGTTTGCTGAACAGTGTAAAAGGACCTGGGGGTGCTGGTCAACAGCAGCTGAACATGAGCCAGCAGTGTGCCCAGCTGGCCAAGAAGGCCAATGGCATCGTGTCCTGTATCAGAAACAGTGTGGCCAGCAAGACCAGGGAAGTGATCTGATACTGGTGAGGCCTCACCTTGAATCCTGGATTCAGTTTTGGGTCCCACACTAGAAAAGGGCATTGAAAGGCTGGAGCATGTCCAGAGAAGGGCAATGGAGCTGGTGAAAGGTCTGGAGCACAAGTCTTATGAGGAGTTGCTGAGGGAACTGGGAGTGTTTATCCCAGACAGAAGGAGGCTCAGGGCACACCTTATTGCTCTCTGAGAGCTACCTTAGAGGAGGCTCTCCCAAGTACCAAGTGATAGGATGAGAGACAATGGCCTCAGGTTATGCCAGGGGAGGTTTAGGCTGGGCATTGCGAAAAAATTCTTCTTGGAAAGGGTTGTCAAGTTGCCCAGGGAAGCTGGTGGAGGTATTTAGAAGACAAGAAATATGTGGCACTTGGGGACACGATTTAGTGGTGGACATGGAAATGCCGAGTTAAGGGTTGGACTTAATGATCTTAATTTTTTTTCCAACCTAAACGATACTGCAATTCTGTGAATGTTTGTAACTGTGAAAATGTTAGAGTGTGAATTTCTCATGTAAAACGCCATCTGGTGCCTGGTTGGACGTTTTGCATCCGGAGTTAAATAATCAGTATAATACAAGCCAGAAAATCCAAAGGCCAATTCTCATTCATGATAACTGATAAAGATGCATTTCATATTCTGCTGATATTGTTAAAATTCCTTTTAAATGTGTTTCATTTAAGCCTTAAAACTTGCACTGAATTGCTGAATTCTTGGGCCAGGAATATATTATTTCAGCTTTAGTCCTTTCCATTCTGATGAGCAAAATGGCAATTAGGTGCTGAAAAAATTAATTACCACTGATTCCAGCAGTGAAATTTTGCCTGAACAAAATTATTAGACCTTGTTTATGCTAATAAGTTCCTTGTGCATCTGTGGGATGGCTTCAGGCACAATGTTTGAGACAAAAAGAACTTTGTGCATCGGAGTATGTGTTCAGTTGAGCGCTACTGGAAAATGTGTCTTACATTACACAGATGAAAAAGATTAGTTTCAGAGTCGTCATCATCTATAGTTCTAAAGACATTACAAAGGACTTTAATTAATCTAATGTACTTGTAACATGGACCAGAAAACAAAATGAGCTCCTCCATTTATGTGAAGTTGTGAAGTTTACAAGCTCCAGAGAGGTTACACAAATGGAAAAATGCAATATGTATTTTTAAATCAGTAGAAGTCATCTGTGATGCTGTATTTCTTGGTTTTGTTTCTTTCTTTATTTTTCTGGGTGGCCACTTTTAACATATGTAGGAATTTTACTTCAAGAGAACTGAAGACCTGTGTGTTAGGAAGGTATGCAAGAACAGCAAAGGCTCCGGATCTCTGAAAATGACACTGGATGTTTTGGCTTGGGCACTCAAAACTGGCCACCTGATTTGAAAATTCAGTTGTGTTTTGCCTCAGTTCCTCAGTGACCTGAGGGTCCCAAGCTGGAGGAAAGCTTGGAGCTGCTGATTTCTATATTTTGCCCATGAAATCATGAGCTTCATTAGCTAAGATACATAGGCAACACCACTGAGCAATTTTATTTGTGGCACCTTAGGTTTCCTGTCTGCTGAGATCACACACTGCTGTACTTACCTAGTGCTTGGGGGTGAAATTGCTTAACCACAGGATATACCAGAGGCTAAGGGCAAACAATCTTATAGGAACAGATAGTAACTTTGTTGATAATTATTCTTCTCTATGCTCAGCTTTTTGCTAGAAAAATATTGCTTATTTTTTTTCAGCCCAGCTAGTGAAGTGGGCATTAGAAAATGGGTCTTGAATTCATAGTCTCAGTCCGTGCAAGTAAAAGGAATACGATGTCCTGGTGTGGCTAAGATGAAGGTCTTTTCCCTCTAATTACATTGCCTTGAGCCTTGCAATACAAAGATGCAGCTACACAATAGAGCCACTTTCAGTTAAGAAACTGCATAAAAAAGGATCATCTCCTGGCAAAGGCTGGCATGCTGATGAGGTGTGGGCAACTAAGAAAAGGGCTTTTTAGACTCTGTCCTGTAAAGCTACAGGGTGGGGAAGGTGAGTTATTGCAGCAGGTAAAAGGTACCTCTAAACAAAACTCAAAATTGTATGTGTTTATTATTGCAAGTTAGTTTAAAGAAAACTGTACTGAGTCTCTCATTGCCAATATAGAATATGGGACAGGTCCCAAGAGAAGCTCAGTCCATCTGAGGGCTTACAAACCTCGACTCTGTCCCTTTAAATGTAATTGTTAGTAAACACTTTCATGAAAGAAGCTTTCATCAGACAAAAAAAACCCAAAAAAGTGGCAAACTACACTGGTAAATAATTTGCCTTGGTACATAATATTTAAGCCACTGATTTCAACCGTAATTCTGTTCAGCATTATCATTTGCTTTGTAAATAAAAGTGCTTATCCAAACAGCCAAGCTTTCTGTTGTTGATGAAAATGGGGGAATGTGGGGCAGAGTGAACGTGTCACTTCCCTTCCTTTCTGGAAGTCTGAAGTTTCCAGCTATTCAGATGGAACTGCTTGTGTTTCCATCGATACGAGCCTTGCTCTGCCACAGCAGCACGGGAGAACGACGTTAAAAAACACCCCGCGCTCTGAAAGAGTCTCCAGTTTTTTGGGGCCTCTGCTCTGCAGCACAGTTAGAAATTTGAGGAGCACCCGTGGAGGAAGAGGGGCGTCCCCCAGCTCCCAAATCCCCCGACCGTGAGGGGTCAGAGGGACTGAGCCCACCGCGCTGTCACACCTGACACCGGGGAACTTTTGAGGGTGGCACCGGGATATTTTCACTTCGCAGCCCCCAGTGAGCTTCCCCCTCTTCTTCTCCGAGCCAGATGGAGACGCATTTGGTTTTTCTTTTAGCCATGTTACTTTTGTGAGGAGAATGAAACGAGCAGGAGGAGCTATTGGCCGCCGCGGCACAAGCAAGCTCAGCTCTGCCAGAGAAAACCACATAAAAGCGCACGGGTGTGTGCCTGGGGGGAGGGCGCAGCGAGGGATGATGCCTGGAGCTTCTTGCACTCGGAGCTGCGATTTGTGAGTGAAACATGATGAAATCACCCCCTGGACAAATCACACGAGCCTGTCAACCTCACCAGGTGGGATTACTCGTAGCTAATAGCCCGAACTCCCCGAGCAAACAGAGCTCTGCGCTCACTATAAAAAAAGGCGGCGGTGCGGCGTAGGCTTTTCAAGAATTCCCTGGTATGGCTAAGCAGGGCTGCGTCCACTCGCACCAGGTAGGAGAGGAGAGGAACGTGTTTGCTTTTAGAGGAGGAGTAGCAGCCCGTCTGTCCTGAATAAGTTCCTACAAAAAGGAGCGTTTCAGCTTCAGAAAGAGATGTTTTATTCATAAACCCCTTCTGGTTTGTGTTACTCTCCAACGGTGACGCTGTCAGCTGCTGCTCCAGTGATGGGAACTGCAGTGCTGGGGAGCCCGAATGTACAGAGGACCATCTCTACCCTTTATGCCTAATGCTCTTGGCATGAAAGTCCTGCTTCTTGCACACTTCACTTACTTTGCTGTTTTACTTTTGCAGGTTATATCCTTGTTTGCTTTTGCCTTTGGAGTAAATGTCTGCATGGGATTTACAACAAATCGATTTAGGAGATCCGAAGAATGGGATGAGGGGCCGGTCTCAGGTACAGTAACGGACTTAGGCTGTACATCGCCATGCCCTTATGTTATAGGCTGTGGTTAGAAACCATTCCTACTCTGTAACACTAGTTTGCTTGTTCCTTTTCCCTCTAGGATATAGAGAAGAATAAATAACTCGCCGAGCCCGAGTCAGTTGACCTTTGGGACTCACCTATAGGTCTCCTATTTACTTAAACTTTTGCTCTGTGTGCATGTGACTATGGAAAACGTAGCTTATTTTAGGACTGAGCACTCTCAGTCTCGCAGAGATCGGTCTCATCAGTTCCTCTGAAGTGTTTGGCATGTTTTGTGCGCTGCACAGTTTCCTTCTACTGCTAAGAGAAACTCCCTGATGGGTTTAAGGGTACTGGGTTTATTTTGGTAGCTATTTAAGCGGTTTCTAGAAACTTGATGAATGCTTTCAAGAGGCGCTGGTGAGAAAAGCTTTTGGGATTTCTGTGGCTCCTGAGGTCATGCTGGTTTGTGAACAGTAGACGGCAGACATCTGACGGCGGAGAGAGCCGGGAGAGGAGAGCAGGTGTTCCTGCAGATGTGCTGTCACCGAGTCATCTGCTTTTCTTGTGCTTTTTGCTTTTTTCTTTGGAAGACAGTAAGAACATGTCACAGAAGGAAGTGTTGTTTGTGTTCTGGGGCAGTACAGGGTTTTGCGAGCTCAGACATACTCCAAATGGAAAAAATAAACCAGAACACTAGTCCTTTTTTCCTAAAAAAAATTAAAAAAAAAAAAAAAAAAAAAGGCATCAGGCATGACTTGTGCCTCTGTTCCTTTGGCAGCAGAAAGAAAACCTGCGGTCATTGACTTTGAGATGGTTAACATAATTGAAGTGGAAGGGTTTCATTTGCAATACCCGTCTGTAATGATAGCTTGTGAATTTTAATTATAAAATGGTTTACCGTGGCTAGAGTTTGTTGTGTTCCTGGTAACGTATCTGTGTCCTTCTGTCCCCCGTCTTTGACAGGAATTGGTGTCTAATCACAGCCACAATCAGGGCTGCTGATCACTGAGCAGAGGCGTTTTAGGTAATCAAAAAGATAAGAGGCTGTTGCCTTTGATCTTTATATGAGTTTTTAAAAATATTTGAAAACCAATTGGTTATTTTGTTGTTGTTGTTTTTTTTTTTTTTTTAAATCTTCTAGTATTTTAACTGTAGAGTAGTTGTGCAGTGTGTGTAATAGTAATGGGAAGGATTTACGTTTCAAGTGTTCAACATCTGACTGCCAGCTGCTTTGATTCGCTGGTGACTGCCTAGGGCAGAACTGCTCACTTGGCTTTTACTGAAGTTCCAAAGGTCTGATATTGGGGACCCACTGCAGCTGATCGTGTGCCAGCCCTGCTGAGCCAACCAGCACCGCCAGGGCTGGGATCAGTAGCTGTGCGCTGTTTCCAATAGCAGGAGGATTGGATCAGCAATACAGAAAAGTAGGAGGAAATACAGGATCTCTTGCAAAAGGGCAGGAGATGGGGAATTTTTCGAAGTGTATTGAGAACTTGCTTACAGGTGGGATTGAACCTACACCTGGCATTGAAGTCATCCAGTCCAGGACACAACAAGGAGAGAAAAAAGTAAGGGAGGGGTTTGTCCATTCTGTGTTTATGAAGAAGTATTATAGTAACATCAGTCTGAAGGAGATGGTAAAAGATTACTTCCAGTTATACTTCGTTAGAAGTCCAGTGCAATGAAATATTCAGAATAAAAGATTGGTATAATTATTTTTCAGCTTCACTCTTCCTCAGCTTATTTATTTCCAAGTTTCTTGCTGTTAAGAGTTAATTATTTTAGACTGATAAAACAGTCTTTACCAAACATTACTGTGGAAACCAGTTTGTTATTTCTCCAGAGGTATGCCATGATTATAAACAAATTTTAGTTTTTAATCTAGTATAGAATTCTACTATGAGCCAAAGCCAACTTGTTGTCCGTTTCCTAGTCCCTTATAAATGCACATCAAAGTATCACATAATGCCTACCCCACCTTGTTCTCTTTTTACATTGTACTGATGTGTCTTTATACATTTGAGACATTTAATATTTGTACCCAACAAATCCTTTAATTGAAATAATTTTTTTACCTGAAATTTCTAAAAGACATTAGAGAACCAAGACTTGTAACTTTGCTTTTGTAAGTTATTTGCTATTTGCCAGCAGTTTTGGGGAAAATGGCCTTAGTAATCTCTTGAAACATGTTTGTTGGCCATGATAGGACAATTTACGCTTTGAAAGGAGACACATTGAAGTTTTTCTATCCCTTCTCACTGGATTTTTAAGCACGTCATTAAAAATGGAGTCTTACCTTTCTTGTACCAGAGTTAGGATGTATTTTTTTCCTTTATCTGACATTTCATTGAAATTTTACTCATTGCAAAAATGAAATGCATGTTCATAGTATGAACATTATCTGGCAATATTGGAGCTCCTCATGTTTTGCATAAGCATTTGGTTGTTCCATATCAGTTCCATATGGGACCCATAGGATCCAAAATGGCAGATTGTTACCAGTTAGTCTCCCTCCTGTAATGACTGTGTAGGCATGTCTATATTGTCCTCTGTCTTAAAAACTACTGGAAATAAATGGATATGACTTTTTTTAAGAGATGCTGTAATCAGAGTCAAAGGAAGTAGTTTGATATGGTACCTTCTAAGATGAGTGTAACACCTTTGCAAAGGAAATGTAGTAACCCCCATGAACTAAATCGCAAAGGCACTATTGCCCTATGTAACTTTGGTCTCTAACCTATGATGTAAAAGACAATTAGATGGTTGTTTTGAGCTTAGCTGACCAGAAAAGAATGTATGGAAAAGGGTGTGAAAGGCTTCATGTAAAAAATAAGGAGGGGAGAATCTTCCTGTTGAGATCCCTCTGCCTGCTGCACAGTCTGACTGCAAGACTGTGGAGGGATGCAGGAGTTTTGAAAAGGACTTTGAAGCTGTCTAAGTTTGTTCTGTGCAAGGGTTTCTGCTGGTCTGAAAGTGCTCACTATGGATAAAGCTCCTGATGATATATTTTCAAACTATTTTGCATGCACCAGTACCCCTGCCATGGCATTGTGCATGACCTGAAAAGCATGATCTGGCTGCGAAGGCAAGGTCAAGCATGATAAACAAAGGAGTGATCTTAATATATTGAGAGGAATTTATCAAGTCCTCTTTTGTGCTATGATAGAGAAAGTGTCCTACATTGACTCGAGAGGAGCGACTTGAATTTGCTAAGTGATTTGGGAAAATTTGTCATGTCAGTAATGAGGTGGTTGTCAAGAGGTATGAGAAAATAACAGACAAAGTAGTGTGCTAAACCTTTCTTGCATGAAATGGAAACCGTGCTTGCAGTTATAGAAAATGGAGCTAGAAGGGACCTTGAACAGCTATGTAGATCTTCTCCATATCCTAAGACATGGTCACTTATTACTGAAGAGATCCTGACAGATCTTGGCCTAACCTGTTCTTCAAAATCTCCAAGCTCAGAGATTGCACAGCCTCCGTGGGCAATTTGTTCCAGTGGTTTCCTGTAAATAAGCTGCTCTTTACAACAGGTAGAGATTCCTTGAGCTGCAGTTAACTGTCTCTTATGTAATCTGCAGTCAGATTTACACCTTCTCTTTCCTAAACACATGATGATGTGCATTTTTTTTTACCTTCTGATAAGATCTCCTTCTCAGCCCTTTGAAATGAAGAGGGTAATGCCAGTGTAATGGTTATATGCTAATATGTAATACCTTCAAGTTCACAATACCTTTGATTTGAAGCTTTCATGGATTTATGTTATATATTACCTGACTTCCAGAAGAAAAAGTAGTAGAAGAGGTTAAATAACATGAAAATATTTTTTGGTAATAGATTTTCAGAAGCATTTGACAGGAAGCAGCTGTCATCAAAAATATGGAAGAAGACTTCATAGCTCTGAAAGTTTGAGTTGTTAGCATGCTTTGAAACAATTCTCATGCGATTAATTTCTAACATAGCTTTATAACCTACTTAGCTGACCAAAGAAAACACTGGTCTGTGTATTGCCAGCACAAATACACGATGTTTAGCTCCTTGGAATTTCAGGTGGCCAAAATCTTGATGTCTAATGCTTGCAGGGTATGTGTCTGTAGAGCGAAACTTAACTATGTGTAAAATGTTACTCGAACTGAGCATTGCTGACTTGGTTGAAAAAAATAAACCACAAAAGCAGAGAGACGCTTGCCTGCTACCTGTCTTTTCCAGCAGTTATATGAGTGTGCCTTACCATAATCCATGACTGCAACAGTAGTAGGTTTGGGTTTCTCACCTATTTTCTTGCTATAGGGTTGATCTGCTGACAGGTTTATTCCTGTCAGCAAAGTGAAGTGGTTCATGCTGGTGTCTAACCAGTGCCAGTGCCACTCCAAGGGAAGTGGTGGAGCAGTAGTGCTGGGGATGGCTGCTAGTGAGAAATCAACTACTACAATGGCACCTCTGGACTTCTCTTTCGTCTTCTTTTACATCCATTCTCATTGTGTTTGGTTAATGCCATCTTATTTGGGAAGAGATTTCCCTTCAATTTATGTGGTGACTGAACTTTCAGCTATGTAAAAATGTAAGGGGAAAAAATATATAAGAAAATATCAGAGCAACTTTTTCCCCAAAATGCCATTGTGTCAGTCCTCTTAAAATCATACTGCTAATCATGGTGAGCTTTGCCAGACCCAAAACCAAACCATGACCTAAAAGAAAACAAACCCAAGATGATTTCAAATACTTAATTTTAATAGGTCTCTCAAGGAACAAAAGGTATTGTGAAATTTTCCTTGGAACACTGTATTTAAAAGATAATGTACATTCATTACTTTATTTAATAAAATACAGTTAACCCTAGAGAACAACACACAATTTTCCTGTTTCATATAAGCTGCTATGTAGGATTCTCTTATAGGAAAAGCTTCGAAAATATGGGAAGAGTACAAACAAGTAAGTTTTGAGAAAAGAGCAGACCCATGCATATCAGCTTTGACATTAAAGACCCTTACTAATAGATTATTGAAGTCTAATACATTATTCATGGCTTTCAGATTGGCAGTCCTCCATTTACTTACACACATAATAATATATTAATTTCTTAAATACTTCTACATTTCTAGAGTTTTTATAATTTGGAGCTCTGCAGAAGCCCATCAAAAAGCCTTGCTTTATTTCTCCATTGATTTATAGAGCATCCTAAAGTTTTTTTTTCACACTTCACATTGATTTGACGCCTTCCAGTATAGCAAATCAAGTCCTGCTGTTGCATGTAGATTAATTGGAGTTCTTTCCTATGTAAACTGACCAGCCAGCCATGAAAATGTCACTTGGTTTCTGAAAACAAAGGCCTGCTTCTGTGGAATAACTACAGCTCCTGGAATGGGGCCTTGGAGACTTCAATACATTTCTGCTAATGATCTCTTGATTGTTACAGAGGTAAAGCCAGGGCTGTTTCTTTGCAGGATGTTATCACAGCATGCTGCTTCCTTTTTTTTTTTTTTCTCCCCCAAAAGAACAACTCTTTTGGAATTTGTTCCTTTTTTTTTTTTTCTTTCATTTCTTCAAGCAATCCTTTTCCTCTCCCTGCTCTTTCCTTTCCCAGAGCAAAAATCTGAGGTTTTGCTCCTTCAAGTGGCTTGGGGCTGAGCTGCCTGTCCCGTTGCTGCTGGCCTGACAGAATGTTACCCTGTTTCTTGTTCACACAGTCCTGTCAGATTCCCCCTGGATCAGTACCTCTGGCTCCTGCAAAAACAGGTGCTTTGAACTTCAAGAGGCAGAGCCTCCTGGCTGCCGCTGTGACAACCTGTGCAAGAGCTACAACAGCTGCTGCTTCGACTTTGATGAGCTGTGCTTGAAGACAGGTATGATGGGTCTCCTGTCCTGCTCTGCCAGGTGCTGCTGACACCTGGTTCCTGCCAGTGGTCGGGACCTGCCTGACAAACCCGCTCTCCCTGCCATAACCTGCACCTCCTCCTGCCTGGCTGGGCAGGCTCAGCTCAGCCCGGAATGCAGCCCATTGCAAAGGAGCAGCAGGAATGTGCATCTATTGCTCCTCTCTGTGGGGGCAGAAAAAGCAGGTTACTGTTCATATGACATGAAAAGTAGATCTTCTGGTACAAAATGAAAAGCAATAATCAGTTTTTAGGCACCAGTTTGACCTCCAGGCTACAATTAAAAGCTGTGGTAAAAACTGGAGGTTGATCATTTTGTGGCAGCCATCCTTTTTTTCCCCGAGTGAAAACCTAATATTGGAGCAATTCAGGCTTACTTGTGGCATGAAGGTGTCTTGGAAGCTGAGAGCATTGAAGAGCTGTAGGTCCTCTTGGAGCAAGCCTCAGGTGACAGCCTGGGCTTGCTACCTGTGCCCCAGACTCTGATTTCCCATTTTCAGGATGCTAATAACACACTGGTAGAAACATTTGGCTTCAATTCATTGGACCCTGGGGGATGGAAATACAGCAATGTGTTCACTTTATCTTCCACCCCCCCCTCCATGAGTCATAGGCAAGGAAAACGTCAAAGAGGGCCATGAGTTATGTTTTACTTCTTAGCACAGTGCATTTAAATTATTAGTTATACCCTTCTTTTTGAATGTTTGCACAGTGGTCAGAGTTGACACAGGTGCCTTCTACTTTTGCCATTAAACTTTTTCGAGCTTTATCCAAGTATTACGCTAAGCAGCCAAAAGAGAAGTCTGATGATTAAATATATAATTGCCTGTGGATGTGCCATGCTTAAAAGTCCTGATTTCCACAATTCTGATTATGATTATATAATTTTCATAGCTCAGTACCAAAAAATGGTGAGCTAATCTGGTATGAAAAACAACTTTGGTTCCAGGCCAAAAACTTCTGAATTTTAGGCTCATGCTATTTTGGCCCCAGTGTAAATGACTGCAGAATGAGAGGCTCTTTTTGAAGACTTTGAGCTTTCAGCAAGATATCTTGCTACCAAAGGGTGGATTTTCACTTCCTCAAGCCTGCTGTCTGCAGCAGACACATGTTCATGTATGGGTACCTGCGTAGCACCTGGAACTGTTGTGCTAATCCTCAAATACCTCCATAGGCATTTATTCAGGCAATTGTCACGTGTATAATCTGTAAATATTATATACTTACAGGAAAAAAAGCCCCAAATGAAGGAGAAAATGAGATAAAAGGTGTTTCTCTGATGTGATGAGGGTTTTTTACTGTGTGCATGTGTGCTGATTTTTGAAGTTTCTTTACTGAGCCTGGAGGTGGAAAATCATCCTTAAAACCATAGACCCTGTTCCAAAATGTAGCAATGTACTATCCTTGAGAGAGCACCCGATTTAGACAGGCCTTTAGACTCTAATCTCATTTGCAAGATGAGAAGAGCTGGGGTGTTTTACAGAAGCTGTGCCATGGTTTTCCTCGAAGAACAGTTCTTGTTTTCTCGAAACTTTTCAATTGGTGCTGAATCTTGCACTGTGGATGAGGAACTGATGCGAGTAAGGCATCAATTTGCATCGACATAATCTCTTTCCTACTTTCTCTTATTTTCTATGGATTGAGCTGTGGACTGTAGTAGTTGTGATGAAAAGATTACCCAAGAAATACCAGAATTCTCAGTTTGTGCTTCAGGCCCCACCAATTATCTGTCAAAATTCCTTTTTGTCTTTTCTTTACACACTTCTGGCATTCAGATTATACAAAGACTGAAATACAACACCTGAGGGTAGCAGAAACACATGCGTATTGGGTGGAGGAGCCCTCCTGCACTTGCAAATCACAAGAGTCCCTTGATTTTGGTTGACATACTTCAGAGGTCTTGAAATCGCTAAAATGGGGCCATAAACTTTACACCCAATTTTAACGACTAGAGTGTTGCCATTACGGCTTGAGTGGCTACTTTGTTTTGCTTACAGTCTCTCGTTCTTGCTTACAATGTGAATATTGTAGCTCGGGGCTGGGAGTGTACCAAAGATCGCTGTGGAGAAACCAGGAATGATGACAATGCTTGCCACTGCTCTGAAGACTGCTTAAGTAGAGGAGATTGTTGTACTAATTACCAAGTCGTTTGCAAAGGTACGTCTTTAGTCTTTCTTCCTTTTATCTTTCCAAACCCAACAGAAGGCAGCCCTATGGGTAAAGGGTTTTCTTCTGAAGGAAGAACTCTCCTTGTTTTGTTTTGATTTTTTTTTTTTTTTGAGTGGGGGCCGGAGAATGGGGAATTGAATTTGTAAGTTTCTGAACACTAGCAGAGAAAAATACATATAATTTGTTGATCGTAGAAGGATGTTATCTCTGCCTGTAGAGATAAAATGATAGAAAGAGAATAGTTGTAGGAGAACGAAGAAGAGTTTAAAGCAAAACTCTGAAGTGTTCAGATGCATTTGTCTGCATCACAGGGAGAGCAGGGATATCTGATGGTCTCAGAAGGAATGGAGCATTCCTAGATATGTTATCTCTGTCACAAAGACTTTTCTCCACCCCCACCACAAAAGCTCCTGCTCAAACTATGTGGCCTGACACCCGTAGGCTTTGTTTCTTGTGGGAGGCGAGTTGCAAAAGCACAAGGGCTGTTACTCGCAGGTGAGTGTCCTGTGCTTCAGATGACCATGACACACCATGGCTGCAGAACAGCCCGCACCGACTGGCAGGTGGATGGGCTGTGAAAGCTTAACTTTCGTCCACTACCCCGCCCTTTTAGAACATATCCTGCCTGTGTAATGTGTCTGACATTCAGAACAGGTCTTCTGATCCTTGATAATGAGCTCTACAAGTTTTGCTTTTGTATCTCAGCTAGTTCTTAGGGTTTTTTTCGTTCATTAACTTTACTGGGGCAAGGGTTACAGTTTGAAATTGTTTCTTCCACACCATTTTGGACAACTGTGTATGTTCACAGAATGATAATGGTCCAGATCCATACACTGAAAATGGGCTTTTGTTTACTTGGTTTTGCTGTTGGGAATCCAAATGAAATATGTGTTTTCAAAAAAATCCCCATAGGTTTTTTTTCCCCTTCTCAAAGAAACCCGAGGCTGAGACCACTTAAATACTATTTAAGTTCCTGCCTTTTTTGTGAGCTCCCTCTCACAAGTGTCGAGAGGAATTAACATGTCTCCAGCTTTAATGTACGTAATCTTTGTTTAATTGGATAATAACAAATTATCAGAACGACCCTGAAACTCTGACAGGAGTAATCATTATGTAAGAACAATGTTTCCTCTTTATTCGTGGCTTTGCCTTTCTGAGGATGGTGTGTTGGTTGTTTTTTTTTCTTGGAAATTGTCCCTCAATCTCCTGTCATGGTCAGTTGGAATTGCTTGCAGCACACATTTCCTGTAGATCTTTTCTATGATGATTTTTTGTTTTCATTGTTTTCATTTGTTTTCATTGAACTTCAGTTCCTTTAATAGTACCAGGTTCAGGAAACAGGCTTGTTAGTTAATAATTTGTGTTTCAATTGACCTGTGAAAGTGCAAGTCATGAGCCACTCTATAGTCAGCATTCAGCAGTGAAAATCTTAAGAAAATAGTTGATTACATGAAGTAATTTTAACTAATCTAGCTCTGAAAGAGTATTAATGCTTTTTTTTTAGCCTGAGTCTCACCTGATCCATGAGCTGATAGGCTCTCTAAACCAGCTGGAAACTATTTAGAGTTGTTTTTCTTCCCCAGAATGAATTTTTTTTTTGTGCCTGTAGCCAGCTGAATCAGCTCATGGAGACATCAGAGCTGGGGGGAGGAGGGTGAGAATTCACAGCCAGAAGCAGCACTACCTGTTTTTGACAGATCAAAAATAAAAAAAATTAAAATAGATGACCACTGTGACTAAAGTGTCACCACTGTCTCTTGTGGTCAGAACTACTCTTAACTCCAGTTTTAGGAGCTGCTTGTAGGAGTGCTAGTTTGGTTGAATAGAATATAACCAGATCACTTGTTCACCCTTGTGAAAAGACATGCTCATTATTTATGGAAAGTATGACCAGACAGTCTATAACTGGAGCTAGGCTTGATTTTTTTTTTTAATATATATTTTCTGTGAAACCTATAGCTGTGTCCACAGATTTTTTTGATTTTTAATTTTTTGAAACTCCGATGTGACTTTTCTGGCAGGAGAAACCCACTGGGTGGATGATGACTGTGAAGAGATAAAGGCTCCTGAGTGTCCAGCAGGGTGAGTGTTTTGCATCCAACTGCAAAGCCGAGTGCAGCAAAGCCAGTGGTCCCCAGCTCTGCCCACCACACTTCCACAGTGGCCCTGTCATGCAGGCTGAATGGCTGTGGGTTGGATGCTTTCCTGGGCTTCACCATTTGTACAGTTAAGCTCATAATATTGTAAAGCATTTGCCTTTAAGCTGCTGGGTGAGTAGCGTTGCATAAAATATGGGTTTGAACTCTTGGTCTTTGATCACCTGCTGCTGAGCTTGCCTGCTCCACTTATATTGGGAAGGTAACCAGACTCATTTGAAGTCAGTAGGAAGGTTTATGTTGTTCTGCTTGCAGTAAAATTCAGGTTAAGCCACATGTGAACACAGTTCAGACCATTTTTTTTTTAAATTGAATTTTGTGCTCCTAGTGTTATGCTCCTAAATGAAAGGATTTCTAAATTGCACTGGGATACAGGCTTGACTTAGTGACGAATTTGAGCACAGGAATGTGAGTGACAGGGAGAAAGTAAGCACTTTTGAAACCAGTTGTCTCTATTATCCCTGAAGGTAAGCATCTGCTCAGGTGCTGTGTTGGGTTGCAGCTCAGTCTGTGCTGTTAGGAGGATAATTTGGAGGAACTTATCCTGGTGACAGTGACAGCTGCTTACCCCTGCAGCAGCTGACTAACATTAAAAGCCCAGGTGTGTCTGTCTGTGACAAATCTTTGCCTGCTTGCAATCAACTCTCAGTGGCAAATAAAAAAAGTAATAAAAGAACATGAGATACTGTCATCTTTAGAATGTGAGAGTGAACTGTGCCTCACAGAGCTCGCTCAAAATGCTACATGGACTTCTGTTTGCGAAGAGGGAAGACCACCTGTCATGTGACATGTGTTTTTTTAACTACAGATAGTGTGCTAGGGTGGGTACTCATGCATACTGTTTTTTTTTTCCTTCTACATCTCTTTCTATAAGCACTTGCCTTTATGGACTGTATGTTTTTAGCTGCTCAGGGAAGGTGTTTTTTAAGTTGGATATCAGCCCTTTCACTGACTGTGAGTGAGCACTGGGCATTACTAAGTGTGAGGATTATCAGTTTCTGCTGGTATGTTAAGTATGCAAAGGATTACAGACATGTAGTATATACAGTAACTGTATCTCAGATTTTCTGGAGTCCCAGTGAGTAAGTGCAAGTAAAAAAAAATAAATTTTGAAATGCTGCCTTATACTCCTGCTGCTTTTGCTTCCAGCTTTGTTCGTCCTCCTTTGATCATCTTCTCTGTTGATGGTTTCCGTGCATCATATATGAAGAAAGGGAACAAGGTCATGCCCAATATTGAAAAACTGAGTGAGTACATCCACTTTCATACAGTGAATGAAAGACAATCTCTTGGAGCCCAGTTGTTTTCTTTGTTCATTTTGAAACCGAAGGTCAGCATGGAGCTGGAATGGCAGAAGTCCCCTCTGGTTTAGAAAGCAACCTGGTTAATGCACACAGAAGAGCTGCTAGTTTGGGAAATGTTGCTCAGAATCAATGACCTTAATGTGGTTTTGTCAGCAAAGAAATGCATCTTCGGTACATGACACATATCATGCGTTCTTACAAGCTAGTTGGGAGGTGCCCACAAAATTTTCCCCTTGATTCAGAAATGTCAGAGGTTTGGATAAATGGCTGCAGTTGTGGTGGATGCCTATTAACTGGCTGGGGACATGCCTTGTACTCACCTCTGGGGGAAAGGGCATCCACCTGGGTTTGTGGCATACTGGATGCACTGCATATTTGAACCTCTCTGTATTAGCATGGTGTTTGTGTGTGTGCCCATATCCTTGAAAGGCAGTGGGTTCTCTTCCCCCTGTGTGTGTGCTGGCCCTTGTATTTGTGTAGCCACCTATGCTTGGACTCAGTGATCTTAAAAGTTGTTTCCAGCCTAAATGATTCTAGTGGAGGCTGAGGTCAAAGCCCATTGTGAAACTGCAGCTTTAGTATATTTATTACTTAAAATAAACCTGCATTTTCTTATGTTGTTTTACTTAATAAGATATTTCCAGTGACTCTGGATAGAGACTCACTCAGAAAAGAAAACAGTCTATGGGAATGCAGCTGGTTCAGTAGTCATCTGGCTGCATTATTTCAGTTGTTTACTGTGAATTACAAAGAGTGCATGAGTAGATTTACCACTGCCCCTACTGCTGACCACTGCTAAGCAGCAGAATGTTCATTTAAATTGGTTAAAATTTAACTAGTTTCTGCATCATTTTGAACCACAGAAATTGCTTCCTCTGTTTTTGTTTTCTGTGTCTGAGAACTTCGCTTCCTCATGTTTGCATTTGCTATTGATTTTTCAGGATCTTGTGGAACACATTCTCCTTACATGCGACCTGTCTACCCTACAAAAACCTTCCCCAACTTGTACACCCTTGCTACTGTAAGTCCCTGGGAAGCATTTTTTTTTGATGACAAAATGTTTTACTGGAGTAGAAACGTGGGTTGTGGAAAGCAAGATTAAAAAAACAAAACAAAAAACCCTACTTCACTGTCCACCCTTTTTGGTCTTTAGTTAAGTATTTTCATCATTTTGAAGTGCTGAGATGGAATGTATCTCACCATTATACATCGTCACAGTGTTCCTATGCTTTCTTATGCCTGCTTTTGCAGTTATTTGTACTGCTGCGTAATTACAGGTCAAAGATTTCCTAGGGGGAAAAAAAACCACCCCTGAAATCCTACCCTGAATACAACCAGCAGTTGTTCCCTCGTTGGAGCAGCTGAAGTCAGTGGGGCTGACTTAGCAGTCAGCGTACAATTTACAGCTGCTGTGAGTGTGTCTGGGTGCTGTGTTGGCCCTGCAGTAAAATGAGCCATCACATACTCCTGTGGCAGGGCTGGCAGCCAGGCTGTCCCCACACCGTCAGGCACACACCCCTGGGTGACACTGACAGTGCTCCTAAAACTGGTCTAAGGGACTCTACCTGCAGCTCCAATTTTTTCCCCTTTTTTTTCGTGCAGCCACTGCACAAATCTTAAATGGATGAGAAAGGAGGTGATGGAGAAAGAGTTCCTTTCTTTTCCAAGAGAAAGGAAAAAGAGCAGAAACTTAAATTGCTTTTACTGCAGAGCAGTATATATAAACCATGGCTTTTGGTGGCCTGCCTCAGTTATTTTCTTGGAAATAGCTTATCTCACAGAGGCTCTCATGAAGATAAAACATTTTAAAATGGAAATACTAAGTTTTACTCTTGTAACTAGAGAATGAATTACTGTGTCCAGAAAGGGCATTCATGAAGAAGAACTGAAAGTACAAATCAATCTTCTTTTCATACATTTTGCCTGTTCCTTGATGGCCTCGAACTAACTTTTAACCAGTGTGAAAAACTTTAAAGTAGCAAGTAATAGGAGTTTTTAATGTTTTTTAACACAATTCAATCATCTACTGCTTTCATTACTATAGTCAGTTTTGAATGTGCTTATCTGAAAGTAAAACCCTTTTCTGGCGTGTAGTTACAAAGATACTTATTTTAAAATAATTTAGACGTATTTGCAGATAGCTATGAAGAACTGTATTTGTGTGTACTAGAGTTTTACTAATTAATCTACTTCTGCACAAAGGGACTCTATCCTGAATCACATGGGATTGTTGGCAATTCGATGTATGACCCAGTGTTCGATGCCAGCTTCAGTCTTCGAGGGCGAGAGAAATTCAATCACAGATGGTGGGGAGGTCAACCAGTAAGTTTCAGATTCCCTCCTCCTCCTTTCCTCCTCCCTCTCTTCCCCTCCCCCTGTTCTGTGGAACGTAGCCAATAATAATAATTAGAAAAATACATATGTGAACAATTTGTACCTAATCCCCACTCCCTCCAACCCCAGCTGGCCCTCTGTCTTTCAGTTTAATGTAATGTTTCGAGTTGGATTTTGCTTTTCAGAATAATAAATCCATTGACTATGGAAAGGTATTTGCATTGATAAGTATAAATTAAATGTGGCTAGGAAAAAACCCTCACTTGAGGCAGCAGTATAACACTATATTTTTGTTACTATGACATCATGTTTCCTTTTCATTATGGGTTTCTCAGGGTTTTGTCCTAGTAATGTTCTTGAGCAGTTTTAGTATAAATGTTCTGTCAGCATAGCATGGCAAAATTTTATAGTTGTTATTTGTTAAGTCCACAAGCGATCACTGTTACATGACTTACTGCAGAGGCTGTGGAAGCCTGGGAATAAGTTTCTGCCTCCAGCACAGCAGCAGAGGCTGAACTAGGTTTCCTCTCTTAATTTGGTGTTGGACTTGGCTTCTTTAGCTCTGAATCCTTATTCTGGGCAAAGAAATAGACTCCTTCAAAGTACTCTGTGTTACTACAGCTAAGACAGTCCCCTCGTTTCTGCTGCACTTTGCCCTGTTACTGCGTGCTGTGGTGTGCTCAACAAAAGTGGGTTTAACTTAAGTAGTAAGTTTTAAGTCCAAGCAACCAAGATGCATGCACATTTCATTGCACTGATTGCTTAGGGAACTATAGTTAAAATGCTCTCTGACCAATTAATCTCACAAAAGAGTGGAATGATAGAGGTGAGAAAATTGGAAGGCATTTGGGAACACCATAATCTGTCATTTCTGTTTGCTAAATTGATCAGTATCATCCCCCAAATCTCTAAAAACAGAAATATCCCAAGAAACTAAAGGAAGTTGCTCAGATTTTAGGCTTAGCAAGTGTGTATGTTAGTTGTCTGCACGTGGTTTTGGTCTGCAACAAATGTGAGACCTGAATATTTAGAGCTGCAGGCAGCTGTGTGACAGGCAGATGTCTGGCCATAGCTGAGCCAACATGAGGTATTTGTGCTCTTGTAAAATCTGTCAGTGAGCACAGTCACTCCCTTGCCTGTCTAAGACCTGGATTTGGCGTGGGTTGTGTGGAGAGGAGAGGGTGAGTCAAGCTCATAGACAATCCTATGATTCCACTGCTGTGTGACAACTTGTTAGGCAGCTGTAATTTAATTATGCACTTTTAATTTTTCATCTTACCTTGATCATTTTTAGGTAGGAGTTAGTGAAGAAGTAACTGTTGGGGCTTGTACAAATGTCTCTTTTTAAACTATGATATTTTAAAAGTACAATATAAGTATACAAGTACTTCATCACCTGCTGTGTTGTGTGGGGAACATTAATTCCCACACCCAGCTGTTAGCAACACCTATGCTATTCCAGAGAAAAAAAGATTTTCTGGATTGTAAACAAGGATCATGAAAAATATCATCTGAGAAGAGTTCAAGAAAATTACACAACAATGTAATTGACTGTTTGCTGGATGAAGTCCTCAGAGAATGAGGGGAGTGTTGCATACCCAAGTAGAGATGATAAAATAAACCAGCTGATCTGAAGAATTTTTCAAAAGAAAAACCACACAAATAATGTGATAAACTGGAAATGTTTTTTGAAAATTGGAAGCAAATGCATAGCGATAGGGCTATAATTCAAACCCTGTACACTTAATATGAGGGGAACCCAGAAGTCTGGCAAACCTGATAGGTAGAGCATAATAGCCGGGTAAGGAGGTGGTAGATCTCTTGCAGAAATATGATACAAATGATACTCTCTCTGCATGTGGAAGAATTGCACATATGATTGCAGATTTTTATAAGAGAAGAAGTTATCTCTCCCTATACGAGGATTAGATAAAGGTAGTTTCTAACTCCTTTTTATAATTTTCTTTAAATAAATATGACATTATTATAGAGTGTCGAAAGTAGTTGGGTATTGAAAGTCAAGACATTACAATTAAGGGGGTAGGAAAGGAAATCTGGTTTGCATACCACAGGTCTTTTCTGTCATATCACATTTTCAGCTGGTTCTTTTCACATCTTGGGTCTCAAACTGCAGTACTAAAAAACTGCAGAGTGGTATGTGGTTTGCACAGGATTAAGAATTATTATTTTTCTGTCCAAGAAAGCAAGAAAGTGTCAGAGACCCCCAGCCTTGTATTATGGTTAAAATTGCCTAGAATAGAATGTCATTTAACATTGATAATTTCTGAAATATTTTCTTGCTCCTGAAGCCATCGTATATGGCTTTATTAAAACGTGGAGGGTGTGGTCATCTTTCTTTCACTGTTCTAATACTCAGTCTTTTGCTGGGAAACATCCAGATTACCATGGACATCAGTGTGATTTGGCAGATGAGTATCCAAATGGTTTTACTCCAAGAATTATGAGAAATTGAAATTAACAGCATTAGGAAAAGGAGAAAGTAGTTTGGAAGTGTTTCAGGGTGCTGTAGCTGGTTGTGGGACTTCCTGAAATCCAGTCTTCAACCTTGGTTTATTATATAAGCTTAAAACCACCATGTTTTCAAAACAAAAGTGTTTCATAGGAAACTACTGCAAAACTACTCCTCATATTGCCACAGCATCTCACAGAAATGGTGAGCATCAGGGCCCACGGGGAAAACTAATTTTAATGCTCATTTTTCATGACACTGACTTTCTGTTTTCATCCCAAGTAACTTTAAGCACTAAAATTAGGCCCCAGCTGCCTTTGGCTTCTGTTAAGCAGTAGTTTTCCATGTCTCGTTTTGATGTAGTAATTTTAAGCTTGCACTGCAGACAATACACTGCTTCTTTTAGTGATCTCTCATGATCCTTAGAGATAACCCAAGGACAGCAGATGAAAGGTGTAAAACTTCTGGTCTGTGGTAAGCGGGGAGAGAGGCTCCTGCAGAAGGTAGCCCAGGTCAGATCCGAGTTTGGGTCCAAAAGATGTCTCTCTCTTTGGAAATATCATAATTATAAAAGTACTGACGGCTGTTTAGGGTGGCTTGTATGTAGCTTTATTTCCACTATTAACCTTTTACAAAGACTACAACCCTCAAAAAGGGCCCAGCCTGAGATGATGAGATAATCCTTAAACAGGGCCATGACATTCCTTATGTAAGTGACAGCAGGCTGTGAAGGCATCTTTAAAGTCTGCAAAGGTATGCCTGCAAACACTAGCCATCATCACCATGTATCTTAACTTGATATTCCTGATTTAATCCAAATCTATGTATCAGTATTTAAAATAAAACCATTATTGGAATTTTTTTGATTTTACCTGTCTAACTATTACAGAAAGAGCTTCAAAAAGCTGTCATCTGTCTTTCCATCCTGAACACATTTTGCAATCAATTGGTTGATTGGTGGGGAAAGCAAAAGGAGAGATGTCTATAATTCTGTTGTATTTCTTTTTATACAGCTTGAGCCACGAACAATAGACAGGGCTCTTTGAGTCTGTCTATTTATTTAATAGGCTTCTTGTATGAAAATCTTCTGTCTGAGCAAGAAGGCAATGCTTAGTTGCCAAGTGTGTGAGAACCTTTATGTCCTGCTAAAGAGTAAGAAGTGTGCAAGGGGCTGCTCCACGTTTTACTTTGTTGGCAGAACAGATTTCAGTGGTGCAGGAGTGGTATTAATTTTGCATTCTTGCACCAGTCTTGTACATGTTTCTTTACTGGGAAACACTGTGATTTCCCCTTTCCCACCTTTGTCTGGATGTGGAAAGGATTTTCCATTCTTGTGTTACCGACTCTCCACTGCAGGGAGTGCATGCACTTCCCGTGCTCCTTACAGGAATCTCCTTCCCTGCTTGGCAAATGGGAGCATGTTTGCAAGACCTGGCCCAAGGGCTGGACTTCAGAGCCATCCCTTCCATCAGCCCTGACCCGAGATGTGGTCCTTTCACAGTGTGACAAATACAGGGCAACCTCTGCAAAGTGATGGGCTTTTGTTTATTCATGGAAGATTAAAACCAGGAAAGTGTCCCACTTTCTGTGCAGCTTTTAAAAAGAAAATTCTGCAGCTGCCTTGAATAACTTCTTTTGAAATATCTGTGTGCAAATGTGTCTAGCACTTAGAGGAAGGGAGAACTTTGGACTTTCATGTTCCATATGGCATTGACACCTAAACTATTGCTTAGCCTTGTATACTTTCATCCATAAATAAAGGAGGAGAATTGTAGTCATTCAACACAGAGGATATAAAAATAAAAGCTTACACGATCTGTTTAATTTATATTTATGAAAGCATGCATATTATTTCTTTTTGCCAGTGTACAAGGTTGAATGCTGGAAAAACTAGGTATTATTAATTTCCCGTGGCGTGGCATTGCATGAAGACAAACTGGTCGATCTCTGATTATTATTTTTTAAATATTTATTCCTCTCCTCTCTGCTTAAGTAAATTAATTCAGAAATATGACCTTTATACCGCTTGCAATACTTGTCTCATATGCAAGCCATGAGTGGACATCTGACATTGTTAAACATCTGACTATAAAATTCTAACATATTAGCAGTTAAACACAATGTATTTACATATGGTAAACAACATAAGCTCACAAATGGTACTGACCTTGCATCACCTAACACAAGCAAACATTATAAGTGACTTGAACAGATATAACTAGCCATAGAGTGCATATAACACATTGCATTTACATACTGCGTGCTGGAACATCTAGAATGAATTAACTTTAGGTCTGTGACTCAAAGCAATACAGAGGAAATGGAATAATAATCCTTATTTGCTTCTTAATTTCAATTGTTTTGAATGGATAAGGTTGAGAGGGCATCTGCTAATTTTTTTTTCTATCCTACCCTTTCCTATAACTTGTAGTCTGCCTTGAAAGACAGGGAGAGACATTCACTGGTGGTTAGGCAGCAGTAAGCTTTTGCTGCTAACTCTTCTCTGGAATTACTACCCTGTGGCTGAGGGTGCTTGTATGCTCCTATAGGCTGATCCAGTCTGTTGTCTAATTTTACCTATCTACTAAAGCATCTGGACAACCAAGGGCACTTCTGGTAGAGATAGCTACCATTAGATTCATCAGCACTAATTGTCACAACTCTAAAACCCTGGATATTTGATTTAAATCTCGTTCAATGCAAATAGAAATTCTTCCACCTGGTGACTGCTGCTTCTTTTCATGCTTAAAGATGCCTCTACAAATGTATTGTTATGAGTAGCAGCTTTAGATATGATGGTGAATAATGTTGAATTTTCTTAGTTTGGGTTTAACCAAACCAAAGGCTTCCCCCCTCCTCTACCTTAAAAAACAGAGGAGGGCAGAGGTCCAGTAGTGTTTTGTTTTAAGCCTGAGCTGAATCAGGCTCTGCCTGGCAAAGTCAGGATGGAGTCATTCAGATGTTGTGGACAGATATGGGCCTTTTGATTTGCTGATTTTTGACTTAACAGGTCCTTGTCTTAGCTACTGAGCTTATTTCAAGTGCAGCAGACACATGTACTCATCCAAACAGTTAATGCCAATGTAAATGGCTGCATTCCTGAGGTGAAATACCTGGGAGCAGGGCAGGTGCAGATTTTCCCTCTCTGAAACCAGTCTGGGTGCTTTTAGACTGCCCTTAGTGCTCTTAGGAGTGCATTGCTCCTGGTTCAGGAAGCATGAATGCTGTTTTCATGTGACGTTCATGGAGCAGACTCTATGCTCAACATGAATAAAAAATAGCTACCACTTTCTCACGGGTGTGGTGGTTCCCTTGGCAATTATTCATTAGAAAACCAAAGCAGAGTTAGCAGATGGTGAAACCCAAATACTGAATTCCCTGGACTTAGTTTGTTGGTACCTTCCCAACGATATCTGCAAAATTATTTAAACTTTACAGGAACACAAATGCTTTCAAAGAAAAATAAATCTGCTCCAGCTCTGTAGGGACAATGGTTTTCCAAGCAGAGCAAGACCAAAGAGCATAACAGCAGTGGAGCTGACACACCTCGTGCTGAATTTGTATTTGACCTCCTTTCTCTATCGTGACTGGGTTCTCCTCTAGGAATAAATCTGCAATGCAAAGAAAAATTTAATTACCTTAAGAGTGGGTCCTTTTTCACCTGGGAATATCAGGAAACAGAGATGAATATGTAACAAATAACTGCCTTAGTTAGACACAAGGGTCAGGCTGAAGCTGTATACCCTGTGCTGATTTATATGGCACAAACATCCTTGTATTGCAATTGCACCTCTGGCTGTGGTGTGTGGACATGGTCACTGGATTGTAGGCACATGTCCTCATCTCTCCTGTTCGCTTGCATCCTTTTGTCCCATCCTTTTAGGGCTAGTATCCTGTGAGCTTTTGAAAACAATATCCCTGTTACTCAGCCACAAACCCCAAATTCCTGTGTAAATTCAAAGCCATTTCCCTCCCTTTTTTTGGCAGTTACTTTGCAGGCACATCATCTTTTTATCCTTGTCACCATGCAAACCATAATGCTGGTGGAAGGCTTGGGCTGTAGGGGATAGGGGAGATGTTTGGGAAACTCAATATTTGGTGGCAGCTCGAATGAACATTAATATGAACCCAGCCTGAAATCAGACTCTTCAGGAGAAGCACCTGAAAACAGAGAAGAGTGGGCTGCAAATCTGTGGCCATTCTGCCCCTGCTGCATTTATTTAAGAAAATATCTTTTCTATAGAGCTACTCTGGATGTGTTATTCATCCCTGGAAAAGAGGATTCATTACTAAAAAGTTAGAATAAAATGAAAACAAATGACCTTTTATAGCTGGGATTTTAATTTAAGTGGACTGGGTTTAGTAAGATTTGGTGGAGGAGATGAGATGTAATGGATGGGTCCAGGGCCCTGGAAAGGCAAACACAACCAATTTTCTCATAAATAACATTACAATATCCAAATTTAATTGCTGTTGGCTATAGCCTCACTGTGCAAATGATCTTTCATCAGACTGAGCCGAATTTATTTCAATTAAGACTGATGTGTGAATAATTCAGGCATGTCACGAATAATGCGTCCCCAGATAACAGTTTACAAGTGCCTGTTTAAACAAGGTAGAGTGACTTAGAGGGCAGTTTCAAAGAGTGGATTTAAAGTAAACTAAAGACTTTGCAATTATTAAGTAAGGGAACTACATTTTATCTTAACTCCTCACGAAGCAGATACATTGCAGTATGCATGAATAATGGAAAGAAATAATATAGCTTCATACACACTGCTGGCCTTTAAGCCATTGTCACTTTAGAAATGAGTTTTGAGATAACTTGGATAGTTCCTTGCAAGACAGATTTAGTTCTGTAGGGCTACAAACTCATATTGTTTGCTTTCCTTGATTGTGGACCGTTCTGATGCTTGGACATTCTCATTCCCCTCCCTTGTGCAGAGTCATAGGATAGAAAGAGGGTGAAGGGAGGCAGTAATTGTGGAACTTTCTGCTACAAACTGATTTATAGCCAGAAAAATTTATGGGAATTGAAGGATTGAAAAAAGGGTTAAAAAAATTCATGGAGATTTTTTTCTGTAATTTCCATCAATCACCATGTTGTGTGAGTAAAAAATTCTTAAACTTCTATGGAGGAAGGTGTTCCTCCCTGCTTTCTTAACACTTGCTGACTTGTCTGCTCCCTCTTTTGTGTGCTCTTTTCTAACACATTTTCTGTTGATGGCTACTGATGTAGAATATGGGGGAAGAGGGACCTTTATGCAGACACCGATTAGTGTTTAAGGTATGTCCCTTTCTAACTGAGTATCCTCCAAAACCTGAGCAGCTGAACAGTAAAAGGATCAGGTTAGCAATGGCTGGGTTTTGAAAATTAAATTATATACTCAAGGAATTCCTTGTCGTGAATCTCAATACTTTTAATTAAAAACAACATAAAGATTTAGGGGTAAAAGTCTACAGCACAGCAGCTGACCCACTGCAGCAGAGTTTGCACAGTCCAGTCAATCCATATTTTCAAATTAGGACTGCAGGCTGAAAACTGCAATTTCCACTTTTAGGCTCAGGGTAGAAGAATGTGTCTTGAAAACATTTTCTTTTGATTTCAGAGAGTCATTAAAGATCTGAGTGCACTCTAATCCTCTTATATTTTCCTCATTAGATTTGGATTACTGCAGCCAAGCAAGGGGTGAAAGCTGGCACGTTCTTCTGGTCTATGTAAGTACCTCTGTTTTCTGTAGATTTTTAACTAATAACTCAGAATTAATTTGATGTGTTAATGAAGTTCTTTTCCTTTCTCTAAGCATTTGGTAGCTTAGAGACTGCATCCGTAATCCTCCATTGTTTCGTTTGTGCTATGTTTCTGATGATTAAAGCTGATGCTACAGTTTGCTGCTTTAGATTCATGCACTGATCTTTAGCAGTTAACTAAAGAAAAAATGTGTGACTTTGTGAAAAATTACTGTTTTTCATGTCACAGTGGGTTTTTTTGCTCCTTAGTATTGCTACCAATGTTTCTGGAGTCCTCTGAGAGTGGAAAACTCTTACTGTCCTCTTTGTTAACTGACATCACCATCCTATTTGACTCAAAGGTCTGACTTACTCTTTTTACAATACAGTCTGACCTTTGAGTAAGATATCCAATTTCCCTTTCCTAAAAGATAGCTCTGAGGGTCTTTGTTGTTTGTTCTTTTGTTTAATGATTCCAATCTATTTTTCTTCATCCCAACTAAAGCCACAACCAAAAGTGAATGCATTTTGATAATCTTTGAGTTCTGAGAAATACGTATGGATCAGTCTCCCTATTATATTTTAGTGTCAGGATTGCAGGAGCAAAGGTTTAGACTGCATGATTGAAACAATAAGTGGATTTGCCTATTTTTTTTGTGATTCCATTAGGCATAATACTCTTTACTGCTCTAAATATCGTATATTATATGGAGGGAATATAAAACATACCACAAGCCAGTGATAAGTTTAGGCTTTCAAGATGGTTATCTGACAGTCTGCTGCTCTGCAAACCAAAGAAATTAATGTGATTCCTAAGCTCTACAGCAACACAGTCTCCATAAACACCCTGGCCAATGCATGCTTGGGGATACAGAATCTTACAGAAGGTAAACAAGGATATGCCATATGAATGGCAATAGCCAGGGAGTGAAACAGCCGCTCCATGTGTGAAAGAAATAGATATGCCTTAAATATATATGCCTATGTATGATTTCATTTGGGACACGGAATGTTTTTGGGGAGAATTTTCAGGCAAACTCTTTTAGGAAAACAGAAATGTTAAAAATATTTTTGTCAGAAATGAGTTAATTGCAATGATGGATTTTTTTTCATATTGCACAATTAGTAAAAATACAAAAATTGGGCAGTACCCAAAATTATGATTCCACTTTAAAATGTTGCCTTATTTACAAATTTTAACATAAATTCTCATTTTTATGGTTGTTTTTACAACTCAAAGTTCTCCACATTGTTGGCGACTGAGGCCACTGTTATTTTACAAGGCATTAAAAATTAATATATTTCCAAATTGCTGTTGACATCTCTATTTCTCTGTCAGGTGTTTCCAAAGAATGCTGAATTCAATTCAGCATGGTGGCTCTGATGGTTGTCTTTGATTCCTGTCTTGGGATTCTGTTACTGATCTAATGGAATCTGGACTGACCATGCTATTGCATTAAAATAACTGTGGTCACTGACCTGCAGACTTTTCCTAAGATGACCAAGATATTTGGAATTTTAACAGCTGTTTCTAAGGTTAGTCATTTTCATAGCATGAACTTGACCTCAGTAGCCAAGTGAGGACGGCTGTCACTACACAAACAGGAACCAGGATGAGTTTGTTCTGCAGAGTGAGAAGCTGTCACAGTTGTGCAAATCACTGTGCTGATGGCCTGATGTTTCAGATTACTCTGCTCTGATTTACACCAGCCTAACTCTCAGTTTGGTTACTCTTAAGTCTGTGAGAACTTTTCCAGTGCAAGACTACCAGAGCAGGATGGTCATTTAAACCTGTACTGATGTGAGTAATGTAATGGTTTTTACTCATGTCAGCTTTCCAGTGGCTGCACGATTGTGCACAATAAAAGTTCATCTGGGTTAAAGCTACCAGAATGGGTCTTTGTTCACTCTTATTTAGAAGAGCTACATTTACTGCCTTGAGTTCTGACTGCAGTTACAAACTTCTGTTCATCTTTCTTTTGGAGTATGTCCACATTCAGGAGATCGGATTTGATTCTGTTTGCAGATTAAGAAAGCAACAAAGAAGATACATCATGCTAAAAGCAAATTATGCTATTATTTATTTTATTTGTTAGAATCAGATCATAATAAAGTTTTGTTGATGCTTCTTGTATCCTGTGATAACAAGGTATATTTCTATATTTTGTGGTCTAGTGTCATCCCCCATGAGCGCAGAATATTAACAATACTGCAGTGGCTAACTCTTCCAGACAGTGAAAGGTAATTCACTTATTGTCATCTGCTGTTTGATAAATGCTAGTTTGTCTTCTCCTTAAAAGTAGTTGTCAGAACAAGGGGAAATTTAATTCCAAAATTATTTTTGTCTGTTACAGGCTATCACTGATTTAAGGATTTGTTTGAGTTTTGTGTTTAGTGGAAGATTTTGGGTATTTGGTGGGGGTTTTTGTTTTTTTTTTGGTGGATGTTTTGTCGTTGTCATTTTGTTTTCCAATATTAGCTCTTCACCATCAGAGTTTTATTCTTCCAAATAAATGTATGGTATGAATTTATTTCTTATCAAGAAGCATGTAGTTGGATTAGCTTGGATTGTTCTTATCCTACTGAGCCTAATATTGTATAACAACCTTTCAGACAATGGCATTTGCAGAACTGGACACTGAGCACTAGGAAAATGTTAAGATTTTAATTATGAGTGGGGTTTAATGCACAGCTTCCCACATGCTGCTGATTGCAAAGCTCAGGTGAGCTGCTGTTGCGATTTCTCCTACAAGACTTAATATGAGTGTGTGTCCTCAGATGGTACCCCATGTGCCTCCCTGTGTGTGTTCTTGGATTTAATAAAGCTGCAAAGCAAGTAATTGCTTAATTATACCATGGAAACAAAGGACTGCTAAATCATTCTGTGATTCTATGACTGAGAAATAGTTCTTTTTCCATAAAGATAAGTCTCTTTGGAAAATTGGCTTGATTTGACTTGACCTAATAGGCCCATGTTTTTGTGCTGTCAGAGGAAAGCTAACCTGAACAAGACCTTTCTTTCTTTCAGGCCTTATGTTTATGCTTTCTACTCTGAGCAACCAGATGCTGCTGGCCACAGATATGGTCCTTTCAATTCAGAGGTTAGTACAGATTTTTTTTTTTTTCTGCAGAAAAACAGGTCTCTCAAATACTTGGTTTTCGAATAATTGATGCTGCTCAGGAGTTGCATTTTTAGCAACTTTTTCCCCACCTGTTTCTGCAGCGTGAATCCCTTCTGCCAGAGAAAACAAAGTTATTGTTTAAAGGATTTATCATGTGAGATTCACTTCTGGGAGAAGGAACTGCCCATGTGTGATACGATTATGCAAAAGGAAAGATTTGGCAAAGGCCAAATGTTTGTGTGCGACAGCGTAATTTAACTTTTCTCTAACAATTTGTCCTTCTTATAAGCAATTAAAATATAATGCAGAAAATATTGAGGAAAAATGCAGAGCAGAAAAAACCTTTCTTTAAGCTGATAGCCCACAGTAGATAGAGTAATAATTCCAGTCTGTTGGGAATTGTAAAAAGCTGCTAGTTCCAGTTTCATATAGGCCCTACAGGGGTTCAGAAAGCTTTGCCAATACTGTTCCCTCAGGACCATACTGTTGAGTTTGGAAAACGTTTTGAAGCATCATAAGACATTTTAATGAAAAATTATGTGCAACAAGCTGCAATAGTTTAACTCTTTGTTTGACTTCAGATAGCTGGCTGGGACTGATGGGTATTGTTTCCCTGCCAACACTGTCCAACTGACAAGAACTTAAAAATTATGCACTTGTCTGGGATTTGTGAGGAGGGAAAGTAAATTCTGTACCCAAATATCCTACTTTGTGTGACTGGGATCTGGCATTTCCAATTATCTCTGACATCTGGCAAAGGTCCCCTAGTTTCAGTGCTAACATATGTCTGCAGATTCCCATCACAAAGCTTTAGGAGTTTTTATACAAACTTTTCAAAAGGTAAACAAATATTTGCAAATCTTTGAAAGCGAGGAGTGTATCAGATGCCTACCTCTCAGGAGGCAATACAAACTTCCTTGAGCAGCCAGGTACCCAGCAGTAGTTTCTTATTTGTTTGTATACATCTGGTAGCTGTTTCTTGACTGGAGAAGAGAGCAAAGAGAAGTAGCATTAGTATTTTTTAATATGCTTGAGTGATTTGGGCTGTTGAAATAGTTTGCAGCAGTTATGAAGTTGCAGTGGGTAGCATCCCTGTTGGAGCAGTCTGAGCCATGGTCTGAGAGCAGTGGGTGTGAGGAATTATTCCAAACCAGTGCTGAAACACCGTAGTGGATGGAGGGAAGCAGTCCTTTTTCTGGATAAGGGGTGGTTAAGACCTACCAACACTCTTGTTAAATTGACAGGCATGGATATGTGTCCATGTTGTCATTTGGCTCAGAACAAGGGCTATGCCTGATTCAATCAGGCATTGTTCAAAGGTATCAGTAATGAGAGCTCTTTGATTCAGTGATATATTTCTCAATAATGCTTTATAATTGAAACACTCTCATTGAAGTGTTACAATTACTGTATGTAGCTTAGTACTGAAAACTCTTAATTTTATTTATCTGGAGACAACCACTTCCTTCTAAACAGGGCTGTGGAGCTTTTTCCATGGACTTAAAGGAGAATATTAAGATGATGACATTGAAATTGTACTTTTAATTGTGTTGTTTAACAAACCAGTTTAACATCCAATATGGTAGTTTAGTTTCAGGTTAATTGTAAAAGTCTAAACAGTGAAGTTAGGAAAGTGTTTATCATAGCAAAACTCATTATAAAAGAAAAAAGCCCCTAAAGGCTCTTACTCGTTGGGGGCTCTTCTGTATAGTTAGCTGAAGGTTGATCTCTAATTGCAAGGCAAAGCTTAGGATCTTAATAACTGTGAATTAATAACTTCTAAAACTTCTGCAAAAAAAAAATAGTTTTGTAATTTCTGTTAAACACAAGAAGACTGTGAAATGGATTTTTAGCAAATTGAGAACAGATGAGTTAGCAGAACTTAGTATGGACTAACTTAGTTTGCAGTTCAAACAGTGGAGCTAACTTTGTGAATGGAAATTTAAGTAAATGAATACAGCTGTGCAAGTAAACAGATGCTGAGGTTTGGGAGGGGCCTGGTTTCAGAACTGAAAAGCTAGGAAGTATTTTATATTGTTTCTCTTGACACTACTTTCAATGTAATTTTAGGAGCTCTGAAATTTACATACACCAGCTGGAAGAAAGTCCTCAAAGGGATCCCTTTCAGCTACTTCCTTGATATACTGAGAGCGTGACCTCCCTGTGAAATCTATTCTTTTCTTGTATCCTGCTGGCAGCAGTTAGACAGCTGGAGTAGTACTGACCATTTTAGTTATGCAAAGGCAGATCAGCCAAACAATAATATTTGAAAACAAGCTCATAACAAATCTGTTGTATTTAAAATGGGTTTTTTATTTCTTCTTTTGAGGACTGAATATTTTATGCTGAAATTTTCTTGCTGTAGTTAGTAGTTTGAGGAATAGTTTTATATCTTGAAAACCCCCAAATCTTACAAGTTTCCTTTATAATAAAGTGAATTAGAGCTTTTTATACCAAACAACGTTCTCTCTATATATTTTAAATATATAATCTTAAAGGTTAAAGGCATCCATTACTGATAATTTTCAGCTTCCAGGCTTCAGGAGATGGCACTCAGAGCTTCCCAGGACATACACAACATCCTATTTGCAGAGTGTCTTAGAAAATAGAAGTAAGGGGACTTAGAGACACAAACCTTTGGTGAATTGCCAAGGTTTTTTAGATAAATGGAACTGATATTATGGCTAGTGTCCACAAGTGTAAGTTTGCATATACTCTACCATGAAGTTCTGTGTCAGTGAATTGGTTGCCTAGGTTTTGGTGGTTTTTTTTTTTTTTTTTTTTACCTTGGGGTGGGTTTGTTTGGTTGTGGGTTTTTGTTTGTTTGTTGTTTTGTTTTTTGTCTTATTTTCATTATTTCAGTGGGTTCCATTATGTTTCCAGGAGCAGTTATGGGACATATAAAATATATGCTTGCTTTTGATTTACTTCTGCTTTTTTTTTTTTCTTTCCCTCTGTGCTTCTGCAGTTGAACTCTGGTAGGTTGGTCCATCCGGGTCAAGAAGCAGAGCTTTGGCTGGCTAGTTACCCTTGTGATGTTACAGTTCCCTTCTGTAAGCGGGGAAGGATTTGTTTCCCTCCTCCATAACTCTGTTCTGACTCTTCTCAAGCAAGACTAAGATTTGGCTGGTTAATAAGATCTTGGCTTTTTTTTTTTTTTTTTTCCTAGCTAACTTTTTTTTTTTTACATAAAATATTCTGGAAATATACTACCATAAGAGCTCTAAAATACATCGAAATCTGGCACTACTAAGCCATTTCTGCTGCTCTTCTAACATGCTGTCTTGAGACAGTCATTTCAGTGTTCAAACCTCGCGTTTTCTGGCATTGTGGAGTTCTGTCTGAGCCGATTCAGAGACAGTAAAATGAGAATCCTTCCTTTCCCTGCCGCTCCTCTCATCAGGACTGCACAAAGCTTGAAGCATTTTAAAAACAGAAAACTCTGGTGCTGCTTTATTAAAATGCCTTTCTGGAGAAAGACGAATGAGACTGGACTAGAATCTCCTTTCCAGCTGCTTGCGTTGGAAGCAATGAAACAGCATGGCAGATGGTAACATCCCCTTCCTCCCCTTCCCTGTTTGTGTAGCTCTGTAACTGAACAACTGAGAGAGGCTGCCTAAGTCCACAGAAGTTAAATAGCATCATAAATCTCCAGCTCTTCTCAAGCCCATTCAGTGTGCTCTGTCACACACAGCATATTGTAGTTTATCTCCTGGTAGGTGTCACCTGTCAGCGCTTCACACACCATCTGAGCAGTGCCAGGAGCCTGTGACTTGTGTCAAAGTCAGAGAGATCGGGAGAGCTTAAAATCACTAGCAAGCTGATTAATGGATAGTAGTTTAATCTAGCTATATCTTCTTTTTTTATGGTGATGATTTCCTTTTTTTTAAAGTTTTATAATTTTTTTTTCCCTTCCGTAAGTCTGTCCCAGGTAATTGTGCATTATGGACAGTAACAATACCCAACGAGATGCCACAATGAAAGTGCTAGGAAATTAAATTCTCTAAATTGCCATGGAGCTGGTAATGAGGCAGGTAGCAGGGCAGATTTGTCATGCACTGCTGCTAATGTGCCCTGCCTGGCTAATTTGAAGGATATGAGCTCCATTCTAACTGTTTCACCTTTGTAGCTCTGATCTGTAGACCCCAAAGAGTGAGTTCTGGTGATTTCAGTGGGCTACAAGGTCTGGCACACAATAGTGGCACCTGCTAATGCTATGGATGAAGGTACTTGGTGGCACTGATTCAACCAAAAAGTGGGTGTGGGAAACCTTGCAGAAGTCATTTAGACTGAACAGGCTCTGATACTCATTCCTAAGCCATCATTCAAGTGAAATGTTGCATTTCCATCAGAACTCTTACCCCAGACACTTATTAAATGGTGTGCAATGAATTTTTCTTCAATTGAAATTAAGTTAACTTAATTTTTTATAATATTAATGGATTAATATTTTATAACTAACACCCCCCATATAACTATATATTTTCAAAGACAGAAGCCACACCTATCTTCTGAAACACCAATTTAATTTGCTTTTATGCTGTCTGCTCCTGTAACTGCTCCGCTTTCAGTACAATTTGGTGGATTCCTCCTTAGAGAGGGACAGATCCTAAATTGTCCACAAGCCTAAGTTTTTGAAAAAGCCAGAGCATTTATGCTTCAGGATTATCTGGCCCAGGTAGCTTTACTATCTGATGTGAGTTGAGACAGGCTTTTTTTCTGAGTCCAGACATCTCTCCCTGCCAGTACAGGAGAGTAGTTATGGCTCCCCTCTTACTGCGCCTAAGAGACCTAAGAGAAAGCTTCCTCCTAAGAGGAGACAGGAAAGACCAGTTGCAGCTCCAAAGAAAAGAAGAAAAGTACATAGAGTGGATCAATATTCTACGGAAACTCGTCGGAAGAAAGTAAGTTTCAAAAATTTATGATGGAAGTGCCACTTTTCAGGCACTACATTGTCTTTATTTTTTTCAACGTGGGAGTTCATTCCATGCTTCAGGTTGGGATTTTGCAGCCAAAACTTTTATTAATGTACTGAAGGACCCAAAGGAAAGCAGCCAAACCAGACCAAGCCTCCTGGGAGCTATGTTTTTCTTATTTCAGACTGTTTGCATTAGGGAGAGTTGTCTTTATAATCCCTTTAATATTTTTAAATCCAGCCATCAGCTGGAGGCAATGTCAGATAAATCCCCAGGAAGACACTACCACTGTTGCTAACACTTCTGAACTATTACAAATTCTGCAGTAGGCTGTAGCCTCCTTAACTCCCAGCTCATAGAAGCACGCTGATTATTTGAGATTTTATGTCTAATCATGATGGTTGTGGAAAATGTGACTCAAAAAATCTAAAAGGAAAAAAACACTTGTTTTAAAAATATATATTTTAAAGTAGTTTTGTGACTTTGGAGGGTAAGGGATTTTTGATTACATGATTTCTGAATGCTGTATTTGCAATAGAGATGGTGCACTACTCTGTTAAGGAAAAGGTCAAATAGAAATTGCTTTGTTAAGAAGAAGTGCAAGTGGTTGAAAAGGGCATTCCTTAGTGTACCATCCTTCTCCACCTGGCACTAACTAACACACTAGGAGGTGTTATAGAGGGCTTCAGTATTACTTTCATTTCAGAAATTTAACTAAATAATTGAAAACCTCTTCAAATAAACAACCTACATAGTTCTCCTTTAAGCTTGAAACCAAAGCCTTGACACTACACAGTATCCTACAAGATGCTTGAAACATTCTTCTCAGTAGCTTTTTTTGTGGAGATGCTTTTTCAGTGCTACCAACTCTTTATTGTAGCACCATCTTAGAGATCCATAGGTCTTGAAAGATAAAATATTTCTGTACAGTCTTCCAAAGTCTTGATATTAACATAATAGGTGAAGAAAGATGCAAGAGCCTTATTTGTTTGCCAATAACTCTTTGAAAGCTACATCTGGGAAAGAATGTGAGCTGTAAGAGGAGATAAATTGCTGAAGAGGGTAGCTAAACAAAATTATCTTCACTTGAAATCTCTGTAATTATTGTTGCTAAACAAAAAAAAAATTGATTTTTTAAGCATTATTATTTCTAAAAGAAGCCTGAAGCCTGCTGACAAAAGTAAACATTAATGGGAAATCCACCTGGTACTGATCTCTTCACTCTTGTGATCAGTGACAGGACTTGAGGAAACGACCTGAAGCTGAGTCAGGGGAGGTTTAGGTTGGATATCAGGAAAAGGTTCTTCACCCAGAGACTGGCTGAGCACTGGAAGAGACTCCCCAGGGAAGTGGTCACAGTGCCAAGCCTGACAGAGCTCAGGGAACGTTTGGACAATGCTTTTGGGCACATGGTGTGATTCTTGGGGTGTCCTGTGCAGGGCCAGGAGTTGTACTCGATGATCATGATGAGTCCCTTCCAGCTCAGTATATTTGATGATTCTATGGATTTCCAGCTTCCTTTAATAAGCTTTGGATTCTGAGTAAATGTTTTATTCTCTTATATGGTTGACATTGTATAAATAGTTTCATAAAAATGAAATTCCCATTTGTAGAAGAAATTTTTTTAATTTGAGAGTGGAAGAATGCTGAAATAGACAATTTTCTTTTTTTCTGAACTTGGGTGTTTCAAAGTTTTTACTAAAGTGACTACTTAGGCTTTCCTGAATTAAAACATTTCAAAATTTCACCCTTTGTCTGAACCACTTCCATATGTTGCAGAAACTGTTCCTTCTCTTCCCCACTGTGATTCCTTCTCTCATAAGTCACTTCTCTGTGTATTTATAGTGCCACATGGGAGTTGGTATTTCCTGTCTCATCTTATAACCTATCAGACTCATTTACCATGTAGCTCTTAATGACTCAGGTAGAGGGAGAACTTTTGAACCATATCTTTCTGGGTCGTACTAACACAGTGTTTATTTTGGAAAATTCTACCAAAATCTAGGTTTTTTTCCTCATCCACAATTTGTTATAATTCTTTTTGTTACTGGGAGGACTCTTTATTGTGGATACTTGGATCAGCCAAATCAAACAGACAAGTGAGGAAGAAGTTGGCATATAGTGACAACAAATGTTTTCTTCTCAAAACCAAAACAAAATCTGAGTCCTCTGCCTAAAAATCCTACTTTTCCCTCTTCTGTGCCATCTGTAAAAAATATTTCATTTTCTTAAAGCTGGAAACACAGTCCTGTATCCTACTGTTTTCTGGTTTTTTTCTTAATGAAAAAGAAACTTAAATGAAGAAATCACAGTTTTGTATCTGCGTCCTCCAGGGCCTGTTGACAATTTGGCCAGAACTGTCATTTGAGCTGTTGGAAACTTTTGGCTTTGAAGCTGAAGAACATTCCCTCCCAGCCCCATTTGCTACTCAAGTGACGTGCATGTTGTCATCCAAGTATCAGATGTTCTTTGAAGTGAATTTCATTAAGTGACTTGGCATGTGAATCCCAAGTCGAAAGCTTCATTTCATGTTCGTGCTTTGACTAAACCATTCACATAAAATAGCCTTTTAAAAATACTGTTCTTTATTTACAAGAAATGAACTGAACCCCAAAGTCATGTGTGCTTTCCTACAATCTCTTCATGGTTTTGCCAATTGTACACGTGTTCACAGGAAGCCCAGGATCAACCATAAAGATCTTTTGCTGTCTTGTGTCAGCATCTCAGCAGGGCTTTCTCATGATGAAGTGGTGGTGCAGATATGCAAAAGGAAATGGTATGATAGTTGTGGGTGTAACAACTCAGCCAAGGCTTTGCCTCTTGACCTGGATGATTACTCCTACCAGAGTTTTGCCAAAGGACCAGCAGTTGTAGTAGCAGGAACGTCGCAATGACAGAATTAACTCTTTTTTTCTTTCTGCATGTTGATGCAGATGATGGTGAATCCTCTGAGAGAGATTGACAAGACAGTAGGACAACTAATGGATGGTCTGAAACAGCTGAAACTACATCGATGTGTCAACGTCATATTTGTTGGAGATCATGGTAAGTTTTAAACTCTAATATTTATCAATAAATTAATGCTTAAGCAATGTAGCTGTAGATATGATGAGTGAAATGAAAGTTCCATTTAAAATATTTTTGTGTTTTTTTTGTTTGTTTGTTTTGTTTGTTTGTTTGTTTGTTTTTTGGTTTGGTTTGGTTTGGGTTGGGTTTTTTTGGTTATTTTTTTTTCTGGTAGTTTAACACCCACAAATGAGCCATTTGGGTATAGACTGACCACTCAGCTCACCTATTAATTGTCATTGGGGAACTTTCACAACAGTGATCTGGGTATTTACATCTTCACTTAGAGCTTTTTAAATCCTGACATTTCTGATATCACATCCAAGTGCAGCTCTTCTTGCATGTTTTGGAAGGCTATAATGTGCCTAGAGTAATATTTTTGTCAGTTTTTATGGAAGGAAAATATTTAAAAGCCTTGTTCTCCTGTACGTGAGGAGAGAAGTAGGACTTTGGATCAAGGAATTTCCATTGCAGTTAGGGGGTCAGGTTATCCAGCTAGGAGAAAGACTGGAATATCTTTAGGAGCCTGTGTTCAGCTTGGATGGAAAAGTCATCAAAATAGTGGAGAAAGGAGGTAAAAAGATATTTCATGGTCAGATGGAGAGGCACCTAAAAGAGGAGATATTATTTGGTAGGTCTCATTCTTTCAGTCATCAACTTTACAATATAAGAAATAGTAAATATTAGCAAAGGCAATAAGAAAAGGAATTTTATTAAAGAAAAATGCAACCATATTTGAGAGAAACCTGATTTTACGTAGCTTTTTTAGCGATGCCACCAAAGTCCTGTTCTGTTTCAATCTTTGTTCATGAAAATCTCCCAAGAACCACTAATATCAGCAATAAAATGGCATATACCTCTTTTCTGGCTGTGGGGAGAGAAGGGTAAGGGGCAGGCAGGATTTCCAGAAGTGGCAGTTTTGTGCTGAGAACCTTCTGTGTCTGGCAATACATTCCTCCCCACCGCAAATGGCTGCAGGAGAAAATTGTTTATCTGCAGCTGCCTTAGAACAGACCACCAACAGACAATACCTTTTGTGTGTGATTTCTCTTAAAATCGCTTGTTTAAAAAGAAATAATCCCCAAAGTAGTACACTAAACTAGAAACAGACTTTGATTTTTCCATGAGCCTAATTTGGAGTTGTGTCAGTGCACACATGGTATATGTGGTGACTGTTTCTACGACTCTGAGACTGGTATTTCTCTTGTATAGGCAAGTGCTAAAATCAATCCCAGTTTGACCCCTAACAGTGTATTATGTTAGAATTAGATGGCTGTAAAGAACAAGATTAGTCATCCAAAATAATATATAGGGTATTTGAGGTCTCTTTATTTTCCTGTTCTGGAAAACGTGTTTGTTTTTAGGCTGGATAAATTTTGCATTTTTCTTCTGCAGGGATGGAAGACACTACTTGTGAAAGAACTGAATTTTTAAGCAACTATCTGACTAATGTGGATGATATCATTTTGCTGCCTGGATCTTTAGGGCGAATTCGCCCTAGGCCTAGCAATAACCTAAAGTGTAAGTTAATTTAATCATTTCTCTTATATCCTGAGAACTAGACTTCATTCCTTCCTTGGACTGATGTTATCCAAAGGGTGTAAATTTGCAGTGTGTTGGCAGGAATTTTGGAGGGAATCCCAAGGCTCACCAGCTGCTTGCTCCCTTCCCAGTCTGTAGTTCACAGACCCCACAGTGGTAGAACTACCAAGCGGATGGCTGAAATGTTCTGGTTTAAACGTCACTCTTTTAAATCAAGAAGGAGTGGGAACTCCAAGCCAGCTTCACGTACCAGCTTATGTGTTCTTGTGAGTTTATTCATGCACTTTTCCCCTCTGTCAACAAAAAACGGACTTGGACGATCTGAGCACTGCATAGACTGGATATAAAAATGCATCTCATACATTTGAGTTAACAGGAAAAAAAAGTGAATTGTTAGTTTTGAATTCAGTAGTTTTATCAAACTTTTGGCATAGATGAGAAGCAGTGTGTGTTGCTAAACAGCAACAGACTGGAGATGTTGAGGGATATAAGGAAGATTTAGAGTATGCATTCACGGCCAATGTTGACAGTGAAACTTGTTTTATTTGAAATATGCTTTTAGAAATACACCCTAACTTAGTCTTTGAGATTAATTGATCTTTAATTAGATCACTCAAGGCTCAGGCAGGAATCCTCTGATGAAGCTAACTCTGTGATTTCAAGCATTACTGACCTGGCTGCTGTCCTCCTGCTCCTGAGGAATACCACCTCCAGGGCAGCAGTACCAGGACAGGGCTTGTGCCAGCACTGTGGCTGCTCCGGCTCAGTGTACCAGGGCAAAACTGACACTGGCAGCAGTTTAAGCTACCGTGCAAACTGTGTAACTCATAAACTAACCGTAAGTACCTGTTTTTAGCAGCATAGCTGCAAGGGTGACAACTTTTGATAGAGGGGAAGATCAGATAGTTGGGACAGCCACCCGTCCCTTCACAACACTTCAAATATGCTTTGGTTGAGGACAAATTTCACACAAAAGTTGATGTGATAAAACTTTCTTAGATAGTGATTTATGTATGCATTTATTTTAGTATAAACTTATTTACATGGGTATTTATGCTTAAGGAATGCATAATGAGCATGGAAAGATCTGTTGATCTGCATATGCTGTTCAAACTTACTAGACCACCGTAAAGAATGAACTCCTACACTTCACAGTCTACTGAAAACAAATTACAGTTCTGAGAAGTCTTTTAAAGATCTTTCAATCTTGAATTCCTAAATTGCTGAGAAAAATAAGTTTTCCTTGGAGGGTGAATGGCAATATCTTTCAAAAAGATCAGCTTGTCTCACTGACCTCTGAGTCACACCACTGGTTTTCCCACAATAGCATTTTCTTCTTTTGGCCTCTGTCTGCAGCTTCCTACTTTGCATATTTGCAATTGTTTGTGAATTTTTGAACATAGAACAAAGAAACATGTTTCTTAGCTTTAAAACTGGGGTTTACCCCCTTAAATGGTGAATTACCAACTTTTTTGTTCCTCCTACATTTTCCTGTTCCATAATACTGTCTCAGTGCTGCAAACACACCTTTGCAATGAAAAAACCTTTAGCTTGTGTTTTGAGGTTCAATAGAGCACATTCCAAGCTCGGCAAGATCGTGCCTTAAGCAATTAAAACATTAGTAGTTAAACAAGAGATTTTCACTTCCTAAGATTTTCTTTTAGCCTGTTTTTTTCTCCCAGGACTGAAAAATGGTTTCTCCCACTCCCCAGAAGAAGACAATATGGACTGTTGCCAGTTTTGGGCTTTCTGCATCTTGCATGTCCCTTTAATAGTTCAAAGACTTATCCACAGTATTTTACTTTGGCTTTTCACTTACTCAGCAGTAGCCTATGAAATCAGTCAGATGCTAAAAGTGACTAAAAAATGCTACATATTTATCTTACTGCTTCTAACAGCACATTGTTGCATTCAAATGTGCTTTGAAAATTTTTCAAGGAAAGTAATTGTGTTTCAGGGTGATTTTTTATTTTAAAGAATAACGATCAAAAGTCTTGAAAGTATGTGTTTTCAGAAAATAGAATTAAGCTAAGGCCCAATCTTAAAGCAATGAGAACACTACAAAGCAACTACATGTCAATGAGCCACCACATGGCACGTGCAGGACTATCAGGGATCAGGCCCATCCAGCATGGGCTTAGGAAAGACAGATCCTGCTTGACCAACCAGATCTCCTACTATGACAAGGTGACCTGCTTAGTGGATGAGGGGAAGGCTGTGAATGTTTTCTAACGACTTTAGTAAAGCCTTTGGTACTGTCTCCCACCTCATTCTCTTGAGAAACTGGAAGCCCATGGCTTGGACAGATGCACCTTCAATGGGTTAAAAACTGGCTGGATGGCTGGGCCCAGAGTGTTCCCCAGGGCTCAGTATTTGGGCCAGTTCTCTTTAATACCTTTACTGATGATCTGGATGAGGGGGATCAAGGGAATCCTTAATTAATGTGCAGACAACATCAATCTGAGTAGGAGTGTTGATCTGCCAGAAGGTAGGAGGGCCCTACGGAGGGATCTGGACAGGCTGGATCAGTGGGGCCGAGGCCAACAGTATGAGGTTCAACAAGGCCAAGTGCCGGGTCCTGCAGTCTGTCACAACAACCCCAGGCAGAGCTACAGGCTTGGGGAGCAGTAGCTGGAAAGTGGCCCAGTGGAAAAGGACCTATGGGCTTTGGTTGACAGCAACTGAACGCAAACCAGGTGTCCAACTGGCCAAGAAAGCCAATGGCATCTTGGCTTGTATCAGAAATAGTGTGGCCAGCAGGACCTGGGCAGTGACTGTCCCCCTGTACTTGGCATTGGTGAGGCTGCACTTCAAATCCTGTGTTCAAGTTTGGGCCCCTCACTAGGAGAAAGACATTGAGGTGTTGGAGCATGTCCAGAGAAGGGCAACGAAGCTCATGAAGGAGCACCTGAGGGAGCTGGGAGTGTTCAGCCTGGAGAAGGGGAGGTTCAGGAGAGACCATATCACTCTCTACAACTCTCTGAAAAGAGGTTATAGCCAGGTGGGGGTTGGTCTCTTCTCCCAGGTAACAAGTGACAGGACAAGAAGAAATGGCCTCAAGTTACACCAGGGGAGGTTTAGATTGGATATTAGGAAACATTTCATTGCAGAAAGGGTTGTCAAGCATTGGAACTGGCTGCCCAGGGATATGGTGAAGTCACCATCTCTGGAGGTATTTAAAAGACATGTAGATGTTGCATTTAGGGACATGAGTTAGCTGTGGACTTGACAGTGCAGAGTTAATGGTTGGACTTCGTGCTCTTAAAGATCTTTTCCAACCTAAACCATTCAATGATATGTACAGAGGACTTTCAGTAAAGATCAGTGAACTATTAGGAAGTATGCTTATGTAAACCTTGTCTTTTCTTCTGTGAATTTCTAACCTTTTATATTTTTGTCTTTTTTTTTTTCCTTTGCTCAACAGATGATCCTAAAGTGATTGTTGCCAACCTTACAGTAAGTACTTAGGACTGGGAGGTATCTTTCTGTACTGCCCTGTTCACATCTTGATTTGTGGCATTATTCATCTTTTTCTATTCATTCTTTAGGCAAGAAAACAAGCAAGTATCATAAATAAAGAGTGTTAAAGGGTACCTTTCATGAATACACATTAATGTTTGTGATACAGTACACTGTTTACTGCCATAGTAGCTTCTTTAACCTTTTCGGGCAGCGCAGACACAGAATCTCCTGGAGCATCTTTACTCCCTGAATTGAGTCTGTTTATCCATTGCTTCAGAAATGGAAAGTAATCTTTTAGGATAAATATTTTACTAGTGCTTTGAAGATGCTGAAAAAATGCATTTGACAACCTTCAACTTCACTAGCTTTTAATGGAAGAAAAGTGTTTAAAATAAAACAAAAACAAACCCAAATTTTGTAACCAGATGGCTTTAAATATACCTTGTGCAGATGAGGTATATTTTTGAGCATTCAGGTTTCCTCTGAAACTTAAGCTTTGATGCAGTTATAATAAAATTCTTCATCTGTGAACCAAGTAAGTGTGATGTTTTGGATGATGCTTCCAATAAAACTCTCACAAGAATGAAGCTTTTCAAATATATCTTTGAATGACTCCCAGGTCCCTGGATGTAAGGAAATACTGCACAGAAATGACTGGCCTACATACTCTAGATGTACACTTTGTTTTCAAGACACCATCAGTGATGACTTCAACAACTTGATTTCGGTAGTTGAAGGGTTTATGTGTGCCTTAAGCTACTGACAGTGTGTCATTTGTAACCCTTTATATTTCAGTGTAGAAAGCCAGACCAACACTTCAAGCCTTACTTGAAACAGCACTTGCCCAAACGCTTGCACTACGCCTACAACCGAAGAATTGAGGATGTTCATTTGCTGGTGGATCGCAAATGGCACGTGGCAAGGTAAGCCCTTGCTTTTGCTTCCATCCTGATTTTCAGTCTTCTTCTCTGAGGAAAATGGATTGCCTTGTCTGTTGGCATCCTGCTCCCGTATCTGTACCCTGTGAGCAAGAGGAGTTTCTAACTCCTGGTGGGGTTCAATAACATTTGGTGTGGGAGGATGTGGTTCAGAATACAAAATATTTTAAAGTTTGGGAAAATCAGTCACTGGATAGAAGGTAAAACCCCAGAGTGATTTCTTCAAGCAGCTTTGTGGGTTTTGACTGAAGAGCTCAACTAGGGAACAGGGAATGTGGGGGGAAGGGGCAGGCTTATGTGGTGAGGGGATGTTCAGGAAGAGTCTGAGTGGATGCAACAGGTGAATTGAAAGAAAATGGAGATATTGACAGAATGGGTGAATGCCTGAGAACCTGTGGAAGGGTATGACAGGGTGGCCATCAAAGTGCTGTGCTGCCAAACCCACGGAAAGCCAGGATGCTTTAGCTCAGAGAAAACACTGGTATGGGTTGCTCTTCCACATATGAACTTTCAGTTATAAAATATGGGCAATTTTTAACATGTGTAACATTATTTTTAAATTTTAAACACTAAATATTAATTTTAATTTTTAATATTTTATAATTTTAAAGCTAAAAATTGAGTGAGGAGAACCAAGTTGGCACATAACTAGAGTGAACAGGAGAGGAGTAGCCTTTGTTTATGAACTATGCACAGCTTTCTGTTTTAATGTTCTTTTGACACATGTTGTGTGTTACAGTATGAAATGGTTGAGTCTTTATGCATGAAGCTGATTCAGTGGTTCTTGGAAGATGACGCAGCTTTTGGCTCATGCTAGTCTGTTATGAGCTTTAAATTATGGTAGGGTTTTTTGCCCATATAGCTGCCAGGCAAACACTCAATGTGTTGTAAGTGCCTTTTGACATCTGTGCTTATCTTTCCATGAATTATGCAAGGAACACTCTGCTGAAGTAGTGAATGAGAAAGCCCAGTGGCTTTCTTGCATAGCTCCACTGGCTGGCTGGCTGCCCCATGCACTCGCTGTGGAAGGGGTTCTGTGGAAGGGGTTTGTGTACATTTCAAGGAATCCCACTCTGAATTTTAGGCCTATAAAAGTTTCAGGTTTAAGAATTTTGCTGGAACTGATGGGATTGCCCAGGCTGATTTATATTTAGCAATTTCTTATTAATTGCATCAGACTTTCTATGGTTTATTTATTAATTTTCAGAAATCTCATCCACCAATAATTCATGTGTTAATGTAACTGTAATTCATTGTATATTCACAGCCAGTAAAATGGTAGTCACAGACCTGCTTGCTGTAACTCTAGTAATTTACAAGGCCAAAATCAAACTTTGGTTGAGCATTATTTTATTGCAGAGAAAGAAATTAATTTGTAGGATTAGCTGGTCTGCTGCATTTATTGCCTGCACATGTCCCCATAAAACTATAAAAAAGTACTCTGAAACAAGCTGGTAATTATAATTCCTATGACACAATACTTATTTTTCCACTTATTTTGTAAAAAAACCTACCTCAGTAACAAGCTAATAATTAGCATTCCTGTAGTACAACACTTTTTATTCAACTATTTTTCTTCATGAAAATCTTTCTCTTGTGTTTTCAGCTTTCTTTCTGCTCCCCATTTTTGTTTATGGAAGGCAAACAGGAGAAAGCACTTTATAGCATTGTATGACATTTGCAGCACTGTAACATCACAAATGTGCTTTAGAGAAGCCTCTGTTGGTCTTCTGAGGATTGGAATAGTATGGTCCAACACCTCCAGTCTGCAGGAGATTTTGTGACATGAGAAAGCCAGAGAAAATAATCAATACTAAGGTTTTTATCAATGATAAGAGTTGTCTCTTAGTTTTGCATCCTTCTTAGATTGAGAGCAGAGGGAGAGACCCTGCAGTTGCTGGATAAGCCTGCAGTCTCCACTACTGCTATTCAAGAAAGATAAACAAACAGTGCACTGCCCTGTAACGTTATGCTTCCTGCTCCCAAAGTATATCATCAGGTCAGCCACCTTTGAGGAAATTTTCTAATACTTTTTCAATTTAGGAAAGCTGTGGATGTTTACAAGAAACCAACAGGAAAATGTTTCTTCCATGGAGACCATGGCTATGACAACAAGATAAACAGCATGCAGGTATGAGCAATGGCGTAACCTTTGTGGGAGGGTCATTGAAGGCAAAAGAAATTGAAGGTCTCTGAAATGTAAATACTCAGTAAAAAAACCCTCCATTTTAATGCTCTTCTTTTGTATTTTTTTTTTTTTAAGACTGTCTTTATAGGTTATGGCCCCACCTTCAAGTACAAGACCAAAGTACCTCCTTTTGAAAACATTGAACTTTACAACCTCATGTGTGGTAAGCTGCCTGCCTGAGAAGTTGCACAAGCAGCAAGCCGTTTTGGCCAGCAGGGCTTCATTTAGGCACCTCTGAGCTCATGCCCTGAGTCCCTCCCAGTGTTCTTTTCCTGGTTCCCCTTTCCCAAGCACTTACCAGGTGGGCTGAAGACACTTCTCAGTTTGCTCTACTTTAGCAACTGGCCAATAAAGGGGATTTTGATGAGTGCAGCTTGACACCACTAAAATGTGTGACATCCACATCTCAGCAATCTAGGAAGGAGTTTTCTGTTCAGAGACTGCTTCTACACCTGCATGTCTCATGCAGCAGCTCAGGGTCATCACTTAGTTTTCTGTGGCATCTTCTGGTACGATTCTGTCTCCTGAATTTGTACTGAAACCATGAAGAAGAATCTGATGATTTATACAGCTATTTATTAGGATCTTTAATACTTTTTCTAGCACAATAAATGTTTTCCTAGCACAATAAAACTTTCAAGATGTTTCAAAGGTGTAATTTTTTTCCCCTAAACATGTAATACCTAAGAGGTAGTTCTCCCTTATTTATAAATCACTGGTCGTAGATGTTTGGTGTAAGGTCAGTACATTGACAACAGGGTTTGCACTGGAAGCTGAAGGAGTAGTTACAATAAAACTTTTCCAGTGTCTTGATGCAAATTAACCTTCTTGTCGTAAAGGCAACAATACTATTCATGGGGCATCTGCAATTTTATGATTTGGACAAAATATCAGTATTTTTATTACATTAAAAGTTTTCATTAACATTCTGTGGATGTAAACAATATTACTAATAAATGTCTTGTCTCGGTAGAGTTGTTGTGCATACATATTTGAAATCTAACCATCGTTCATATTTCTTTGGTGATTTCATAGATCTGCTTGGATTAAAGCCTGCTCCCAATAATGGCACTCATGGAAGTTTAAATCACCTACTGAGAGCCAATGTTTATAAACCAACTGTGCCAGACGAAGTTGCTAAGCCACTGTATCCTGTAGCCCTACCTTCAGCATCAGATTTTGATATAGGATGTACATGTGATGACAAGGTAAGTGTTTAGGATCTGTGGAAGCTTCCACTATTAGCAGTAGTTTCTAGTAAATTTTTAGCCATTTTATTTGTTTTGAGAGGGTTTTATCCATAAGAATTCCCTGTATCCTTCCTGTGAAGTGTTTCTGCCCTTTTGGAACAATTATGGCTTTTTGTAAAGAAGGAGACAAGAAAATCATCAGTGTCTTATAGCACTGGTTTTGCTTTGCTAGATGCCTAGCAAAACAAGATGTCAGAATGCTCCAATGATCCTAATCTTGTTCCTTTTTTCTGTTCTTGAGAAGAACAAATTGGATGAACTCAACAAGCGCTTTCATGTCAAGGGAACAGAAGGTAAGAACCTGGTGCCTCAGTCAATAAAATCTAGTTCTGTTTTCTTTTGCAAATTACTTTGTGCCATTAAAAACAGAGCAACTCCTGTTTTGGTTTAGTTAATATGTAGTAAACTGTCTTTTCAAGTAACTGTCAAAATAGCACACAGACATTCATGAGATACGTGGGCAAGACGAAGTGCTGCTCACATGAGGAAATGCACACTATCTTGTGTTGTTACCAGGACTAAAGTATCACTCACAGTAATAAAAATTTTAATTCTTTCATTCCATTACTTTTAGAAGTTTTAAACTCAGATGTGGAAGCAGAGACATGAGGAAAGGAGAGGGTGCATGAGGCAGTACTTCGTTTAACCACAAGCTATAAATGGGGAAAAAAACATAGACCACATCTGCATGCTGTTTTATCAGTGTTCTGGTTTGGGTTTCACCTAGAAAGGATGCTACAGCTGCTTTGACAATCCCTGACTAGGTCTCTAGTGCTTGTTTCTTAGGGTGCAGGTTACCCAGTGAAACAAGTGTTTTGGTGGTTCAGGGATACTCAGCTCAATTCATCCCTCTTCAGTGTTCCAGTCAGTGTTACTCCCAGGAGAAAGCATTCCGTGCTCTCCCTGCTCCTTGTTCCTGCAGCCTCCCTGCTGTATTCCAACACTGATTTCCATGTGGCTGCATTCTCAGATGCACCAGAACTGTGGTCCAGATCAAAGGGAAGCAACAGGAGCAGAGAGGAGGGGACAAGAACTCTGATGGAAAGGCAAATCAAGGCAGAGCTTCTCACAGCTGTGATCCAGTTCAGCATAACAATTCACAGCATTTCCCTTACCATAACAATTGTCCAAATTAGCAAATTCTGAAGCTTTGAGTTTAGACATGAATTTTTGAGGTGCCTCAAACTGCATTGCTCAGATGATTAAGGAGATTTGCTTTAATTCCCTTATGAAGGTATTTTTTGAGTTTTTCTGTTGTGAACAGTCAATGCAGCTTATCCTTTAGTTTTTAAAGGTTATTCATCTTATGTGAGTTGAATTGCCTTTCTGCAGCTCTCATCTTGTTAAACTGATTTTTCCAATTAATGAAGGGCTCCTCCTTGCTGTGGCAATTTCTGGTGTCAGGAAACAATACTCTTGCCTTTGTAGTCTGGAGTATCTCAACATCTCTGTTTTGGATTATGGTTTTGATGCTTCCTCCCTGTAGTAGTATAAAAAGAGTATTTTTGGTATATTTTAAGATGCAAGCACTAATACCAATTACACTTGTTAGTTTGTCAGTTTGCTGCTAAATAGAACGATGAGCCCCTTATTTAAACAATGAGGAGTTCTGGTAGGTACAAGTTATTTTGTTTTACTTCATGACAGGCTGTAGCACCTGTTCACAGACCTTCATGCATTTATTTGTTAGTTCCTTTCTCCCATACAGTGCACCGTGTTGTTATTCACATGCAGAAGAAAAAGACGACTTCAACTTCTTTTGAATAAAGCAGGTTTATCATCTCTATCCTTAGACTAGGCTTTTCCTACGTTTTTTGTTGTGCCCTGTAAAAACATCCTCTGTTTGGACTCAAACACTAATAAAACATGCCCTTTTCTTTCAGGTTAAATACCTATCTGTAAACTGTGTTAGGCTAGGTTTTAATTTCTAAAAGCAAACCAAGTGCTTTTGCCAAAAGGCTTATCAAAATCAATGACCTGTCCAGGGCAGTTCAAGATTAGCCAGGAAATTTATTTTTCTTCTAACTCATTCAATGTTTTTGTCTTTTTATAAGCAAGCTTGTCAGAGTTATCTAAGGACATTTAACTGTAACTTATCACCGAGACAGAATAAAAGCAAGTTTTACAGAGCTGGAGGTGTCTTTGTTGCCAAAGTTAGGAAAAATGTTTTGTTTTCTTTGATATTACTAACAAAAAAAGAGCACACCAGTCTTCAGAACAAAATCTGTATCAGCCAAGGGGAAAAAACCTATTCTTTTAGTGAGTGACCACTTCTGCCTCCCTTTTGAGAAGAAGTTTACAAAAAAACATAAGGAAACAGAAAATCCAGAGAGGAATGGCAGGACTGCTAGAATAGGGACTGATATAAAACTACAAAAAAAAATGCTCATCACCTCATGTGTGACTGAGATACGGACACAGGGATCCTCGAGGAGTCTCCTGTGTTTGGAGACTTCTCTCCATGCTACGACCCCAACAAGCTTTCAAGGTTAGAATGGAATTTTAATCCCAAAGGGAGTTGCGAGCCTGGAATGAGGATCCCAACCAGAACTATTGAAGAGCTGCTACTCTGTCTGTTGCAATATTTTCTTAGCAGTTATTCAGGGTCAGTGTCCCATTAATGATGACTGAAAAATCAGCATGTGATAGAAAGCCACCCCCCACCCCTTTTTTTTTTCATCTTTAAGTTTTTCAGTAATAAATGTAAATGTAATTTCTTCTGATCTGCAGAGAAGCATCTTTTATATGGGCGCCCTGCAGTACTGTACCGCACGAAGTACAATATCTTGCATCACCATGACTTTGAAAGTGGCTACAGTGAAACATTCCTGATGCCTCTCTGGACATCCTACACTATTTCCAAACAGGTTAGTGCTGTCTTTCCTCATGAAAAAGTGCTTAAAAATCCCAGGGAAATTTCTTTGGTACCTGTGTTCTCGAAGTCCTAAAATTCCCCTTCCCCAGGAAGATTTTCCCACGAGAAATTATGTCAAATACCATTGCAAACAGTGCCCAAATTCTTTTTTTCCTTCATGAGGGAGGAATTTTCAGGCAGAAGGATTGTATATTTCTGTCCCTATTTTAATTTTATTTTTAAGTTTTGTTCACTGGGGGTTTGTTTTATTATGAGTGACTTCATTTGAATTATTTCCCATGGTGACTTCTGCTACCTGAAGAAGGGGCTCTGCAGCAAATGCAGGAGCAGGATTTGGTTGTACAGCTGGGTGGTTTATTTTACTGTACACAAGGCCTTCCATATCATCTACTGACGGTATGAAACAGATTTCTTTCCTCTATAAAAGCTGAAATTACTCTTTTTGTTGTTTCTGTCTGTGTTCCTCAATGCAGGCAGAGGTATCAGGAGTCCCGGAGCACCTGTCCAGCTGTGTGAGGCCCGACCTGCGCATTTCTCCAGGAAACAGCCAGAGCTGTGCAGCCTACAGAGGCGACAAACAGCTCTCCTATGCCTTCCTTTTCCCTCCTCGTGAGTTTAGATAGCTTTTTAATACCTAGAGATTTTGTAATTTTACTTTTTTTGGGGGGAAAATCCTTAGGTACGAACATACTCCAGGCACAGCCCCCAGCCCCCCAGATATAAACAGACTAATTTTGAATTCAAACAGCAGTAAGATGAACAGGTTTTTAATTTATAAATCCAAATTAGACTGCTGCATACTCTAAAAATTTCTACCATCCTGTAGAAATAGTGCTAGTGGAAACCCTGTGTAAATGAGTGCCCTGGATTCTCCTGGTTCAGTTGCTTTGGTTCAGTCTTGGAGCAAGAATCTTCTGGGATTAGTAAATGTTCAAGGGACACAACTGTCTCACAACTGTGAATTTCATTTCTCTGCCTTCTTCACTCAGTGGCTGAAATATTTTATGGTGGGTTTCTGAAATGACGTTACTGGTGAGAGGCTCGCTCAGAACTAGAAGATAATCCCACACTCCTCACTTGCCTTGGAAATTTTTGGCCTCTTTAAAAGCTTGCAAAACAACTCTCTGACTTTTGAGACAGCAATATAAAGCTATATAAAAATATTGTGAATATTTGAAGCAAAGACAGAATCCTCCCTTTCCGTGTTCAGCTGTCACACTAAAGACAAATTTTGTGTATGTAGTGTGTGCTTCTGAACACAGCATTCAGATTGCTGTTTAGATTACAGTATTCTTGGTGGTTAATCTCTGAAGCCATTTTCAAAACATTTTTCTATTCTTTGAAATTCTGAAATTTCATCTTATTAATATTTTTCTATTCCACTGTTTTCAGAATTAAGTTCCTCTGCAGAAGCAAAATATGATGCTTTTCTAATAACAAATATCATTCCAATGTATCCTGCCTTCAAAAGTAAGTGCCCTTTCCATGACTATACTTTTCTTTCCCACCAAGCATTCTTTTACTGTGTGTTGGATTACGGGAGAAATTTAGAACATAAAGTTCAGTTAGCTGTAGCCAGCAGATAATACATGTAGGCACCTGTATAGTTTTAGTTATGGGCAGGCAAAATACTGCAAGAAAGGCTGAAGTCTTAAGAAAGGTTTATTTTCCTTCGTGCTGGGCTAAGGTAAGAGCACAGACAGGTCAGCAACTTTGCTTTATGACACAGTAATTCACTTTCTGTTAGGCCATTGAGATTCTCTCGTCTGCAACCCAAGCTAGTGCAGAACATACCTAGACAACATGTTTTTACTTCTCAACTGGAGCCTGAGAGCATGCACAAGCCTGGGAGCCCTTAGCGTGTTGTTGTAGGTCAGGAACAAGTGATTACATTTCATTTTTCTCTCCATACCCTTAAAGGGAGACGGAATATATTTATTACCTATAAAGAAAAAAAGAAAAGAAAACAAATTTATGGAAAATGAGGAATGATTTAAACCTGGCTGAAACTTTCAGTGCTTCAGGGATATGGTATTAACATTTCTTTTGTCTGCACATCCGTTTTCTCTCTAGTTTTGCCAAGAGGTAGGAAAGCCATCAGGCTACTCTGGTGGCATTTTTGGCTTGGCAGGGATTGAGAAGTCTTGGAAGAATCTCAAGAGCCTGTTCTTGTGAGATTTCCAATTCAGATTTTAGGCCAGAGAGGTTTTGGATAAACATCAAAGCCTATGGGAGCCTTTTTCTTTTTAACCAGAAAAGAGTGTTTTTAACTGAAAAACCTCTGGGTAGGAACAAGTGGTGATATTTGCTGGAAATTTGAGCAAAGGCACTTAACTGATTACAGAGTGCAAAATTATTGGGGATTTCCCACTCCTAAATCACTTCATAAAAATGTTCTTTATGCTAATGTTAATCTAAGAAATTTGGCTGAAATTCTAATCACAGGAGAACAACCCACGTCTAGCAAGCTCATTTTTTTATAGAGGCCTTCCTCTTCATCACAAGTGGGTGAAGGATTCCTTGAGAAAATATGCTGGCACTAATATGATTCCTGGGGAATTAAAAACCACTACATGTGTGCAGGTTGCAATGCTGAGAGCCAAGGATAAGCTAATTATATGGATCTTTTTCCACAGCAGGGAAAATACGAGGTGGCAGTTTTATGCTGTGCTGGCTTTGGTGGCAGTGCTGGCTGCAGAGGCCCCCTCCTCTTCTTTGTTTTTGTAATTCACTGTCCCATCCCACCCCCTTGGGCAATAATTCTGTGTCTATCTTTTCCATAGTGAGACTGCCTGAGCAGCTCCTGCTTTGCAGGAGCTACAAGAATGATGCCCCTGGGCTGGCCCCCCATTGCCCTGGCGTTGCTCTCTGTGTGGTTGCACTGGGAACTGGAGCAGGGAACTGATTTAGCTACAAAACTTGAGGCAGTGGGAGGGAGGGGGAGTCTTTCCTTTTTGGACTGTTTCCATTGTTAAAGCATATGCACTGGAGGAGTGAGCAGCTGGAGGAGTGGTACTGCCAAGGACAAGGTGTGCTGCGGAGCTTTCTTAGGCTGGTATTGCCATCAGGGAACCATGGACTTGACCATCTGAGCTGGCAAGAAAAGAGTTAAACTTTTACATGTCTGAGAAGTTTTGTTTACACATATGAGGAACGTTGAGGGTGGACAGGGAGGGGAACTCCAGTCTAGAGGCTTTCCTTTTACCTCTAGTCCTGGAGGGGAAGGTGCCGTCCCCCTCCTCCCCACCACGCGGTCTCCATGGTTCCCACAGGGATCACAGGAGACGAGCTGCTGGCAGGGTGAGCAGGCAGAGAGAGTTTTATTGTTCTGGTAGTTGTTTAAATACCTTTTGGGGGGAACACAATGTGACCAGCGGGAGTTCAGGAGGTCTTACAAACCAACCAATTACAAGAAAGGGTTAATGACCAAAAGATGAGCTTCCAGTTATCTCTTAGACATTCCAAAGGTACAGGTAAGGGATCTTGGGAAAGAGAAAGGTTTACGCAAAGAGTTACACCACCATTTCGGAAGCATGTTCACTTTAACAACATTAAAACTTCTGCACTCTTTTATATACTGCAACGTACACACACTTCTGTTAGTTGAAATATAAAGGGAAAAAAATAAGAACAAAAAGAATGATGTAACTGGAGATTCCAGTGTGTTTCCCATCTTAACTTGTCAAGGTTGAGGAGGGCATGGTGGGAGAAATTGTGTCATGCTCTTCCGGAATGTTGCTGTAATGAGATGCTATGCTTTTGTCATCCTTGATGGCACCTAATTTAAAAGTTAGACATTTTGTATCCAAGGAAAATTTAACTGGATGAATATGACCTTTGTATTTCCCTTTCTTTTAAAGTATTTGGGGTTTGCATTTAATCATGGTCCTGTATTATTTTTAAAATTAAAAAAGAACAAAACAAAACAAAAAGTCATAGCATTGTTCCCTGCAACTAGATAAGAAAGACAAAGACAATGCTTACAGGGACATAAAAATCCTGTGAATAGCTTTTTCTGCAGCTTGGTGAAGGAACAGCAGAATCTCTATTGCAAGGCCTTTGGCAATGCCAGCCTGGAAGTGGTACCGTGCATTTCGTTTATCACTGGTTGAGGGGAAAAAAAATCAGCAGAGAACAAAAGTCTGAATAGGCTTTATTGACAAAACAGAATGAAGCTGCAGTAACTCTGTAATGTTTGGTCTTTGATTTCCCCTACAGTTGTGTGAATGATGTCCACTGGATTTTTACCTTCAGGAAAGAAAAACTGTTTATAATCTTTACATGTTTTGACTTCCCAAATTTGAGTATATTGAGGATTCTTTTCTTTTTGTTTGTTTGTTTGAATTGATTTCTTTTGTTGGTTTTTTTTACCCACAGAGGTATGGAACTATTTCCAAAGGGTTTTGGTGAAGAGATATGCCACTGAACGAAATGGAGTCAATGTTATAAGTGGACCAATCTTTGACTATGACTATGATGGTTTACATGACACACCTGACAAAATAAAACAGTAAGAGTTAGTCTTTAAATTGGTTTGCTGTTTCTTCTCTTAATTATGACTTTATCTTAAACAGTTCTTTACCTGCACATCATTTGATTTTTGGGAGGAAATTTGATTTTCTAGCTCTTTCTAAAATTATTGTTCATTAAAACTGAATAACCATGTAGGTAAGACAGTGGTAAAAATAAGGAAACAGCAATTCAGCAATTAACTGTTCACCTTAACTTTGAAATTAAGTGTTCATCCTTGAGAGAAAGTTGAATTATGTTCCACATTGTCTGTTTTCTCTAAAATTCTCCAGAAATTAAGAGCAGCACTATTGAGTTACATACTCAGGTCTTTTGTTAATTCAGTAATGCTTTGTCTCTATGTCCCTGAACTGAAGAAGCCTTTCAGCACTGCATGGGTTTTTTCTGTAGCACAGTATGAGCTAATTGGATGCTCATTTGCAGATATTGTTCAGGAATCAAGCACATCTCAACAATGTGTGTCCTCACACGTAGGAGACGAAAGACAATGTTCTTTGTGTAATCTCCCTCCAGACAAGTTCATCCTTTGTGGATAAATGTTTGCTTTATTCCCGCAGGTTTGTGGAAGGCAGCGCAATCCCTGTTCCAACTCATTACTATGCCATCATAACCAGCTGCTTGGATTTCACTCAGCCAGCCGACAAGTGTGATGGACCACTCTCTGTTCTCTCATACATCCTTCCCCACCGGCCTGACAACGATGAGAGCTGCAACGTAAGTCCTGCTGAACCACTCTAGCCCTGTGGTAAACATGTTCCTGGGACTCGTGAAAACCCATTGCTATTAGAAGCTAATGCTCAGTGATGTGCTGAACGGCAGCATGGGGTAGTGACTCTGCTGAGTGTCATGTTTAGCTCATTAGACAAAAGCACTCCTCTGTGATATCAGGGGAAATATGGAACTATTTTTGCACCTAAAATTGTCTGGAAGAACTGACATACAGTAGGTTGGCAGTAAACAACCTGTAGGATTCTACATTTTGGCAGACACTGTCAGTGTAACTTCAGAGCAGACTGGGGAGAGGTTGTATGTGTAGACATTGTTCTGGCAGCCAGCATGATGTTTTTATTGAGGTCAGTTTCCATATGCAGGTACAATACAGTCTGTCTGCTATGGCAGTCTGGGTGCATCAGACAGCGTGATTACATCCAGCCCACACAGTATTAAACATATATGCTAAAACCTGCCAAGGGTCGAGTGCCAACTCTTACTGTTTCCAGAATCCCTTGATTCAAGGGAGAAGTTTGGGTTCCTATTACAGAGACAGCCAGACACCCTCCTGGTTTCTTTCCTATCTTCCTTTAGGATGCAAGATCTTACTACTGTAAGAATGTTGATGTAGGCTTTGGTCTGGTCAGCGCTGCAGAGAGTAACACACACCCCTGGCAGCTGATGGTGTGGCAGGAGCGTGGCTGGGTCCCCGTGGGCTCCGGCACCGTGCGAGGACAGCACTCCCCCCAGGCAGCTGTATTTAGACTTGTCCTTCCGCCTGAACTTGTTCTCCCATTACACAGCTGTGTGGATTCCTGCACACAGACACTTCACTATAGGCTGCCAGGAGACCGTTTCCTGAATGAACGCATTAATGTTATGAATTTTGTATTGGCAAAAAAGTTAAGACTCCCTTTCCAGCTACAGGCAGAAATAGTCATTCCAATTCTGTACACAATTCACCTGGAACACTGTTTCTTTCTCATTCATCAAACATCGCCTGCTTTCAGGTCCCTCTTTTTAAAACCACGCTTTTGGAGAAGTATCCCTCTCTCCTGACCAGGTCTGGCTTTCCCCTGTTTAGACTCGCAACTGCTCTGGGCAGAGAAGTCTTCCACCAGAAGTCTCGTAAAGTTCTACATATATTTCATCGTGGTTTTTCTCTGGACTGTTTTCCCCTGAATCAAGATCCGGTTGGTGATCTGGAGGTTACTAATCTGGCAGTTATTAGTGCCTCTGCCCTTATAACTCTGCCCATATGTCATTTTATGACAAAGTAATTTATTTTTTCCTCCCTCTATTGCAAGTCATATTTCTCTTAAACTGTTGAAATCTTTTTAATGAGCTCTTTACAATAATGGCCTCTTTTAGTCTTTGATTTCTTACATCTCAAACCAGGCTTCTTTTCTCTATAGGTCACACTATTTATGGTGCGTGTATTTACAGTTCTGAGAGGAACTTCAATGCTACTGCAAGGTCATTAGCAGATATTGGTTTATGAATTTTATATAGCAAAGCACCACTCCAAAAATACTTAAATGTTGCTCTTGAATGAAAGTACAGTTAGGCAAATTTTTGCCATTGAAATACAGCATAAGTCTTACTTTTGCACATGGTGTTCCATCTTATTTTTTCAAAGAGGTGATTGTGTAAAACCTCACCCTACTTCATGGATGAAATGCATGGAATAATATAACAATCTTACCTTAGCCTTTCCACAGTTTTCTTTTAAGATTTGAAGAAATATTAGCTTTCCCTCCCACTCTGCTCTAGCTGCACACACTTTCTCTCTCTTCACACAGCCACTGGAGAACACCACTACACTTCTCATTTGAATTTGTTCCATTTCTAAACTGTGTTTATTCATGATGAGGTTATACCCATTTATTCTTGTGTCAACATTTTTCTATGGCTTAAATAGTTCTTCACTGGGCTTCTTTGGGATTTACCCTAGTGTTGATTTATGATGAATCTCAAGGTGTATACTTCTCTCTATTCGTGGAAGACCCAGGATCTTTTTTGCTCTTGTAAGAAAGGATGAGTATGGTAGTAGTCTTCCTATACATCTCTTCCAGTCTGATCCTTTTTTTTAGGTTTGGTTTTGTTTTTTTTGGTTTTTGGTTGTTCCCACCCCCCAATCATGAATTAGATAAAGTACTGCAGCTCAGATCTCAAAATGAAAATGTTTTCTTTTTCCTCTGATACTGCCTAGGATTTGTTTTTTCCATAGCTGTTTTATACTGGTGGCTCACACTCATGCACAACTAGTACACCCAGGTCTTTCTCTTCTGTATGTCAGATAACCCAGCTTCATACTATACCAGGGATTCCTGCATCTTCATCCTCCACTATTGTTGCTCCCAATTGTTCTGGATTTTTACTAGTACACTAATGACCTTGCCTCAAGAAGCATGGGTGAAAACATTACAGAAAATCCTTTCTAAGACCAAAGCTGAAGGAACCCTCCTAGACCCTCCAGGCCACTATTTTCCCTTTCAGCGAAACCTTTAAATTTTTTTTGATAAGGAGGTTCCTCACCCACCTGTCTTACATGCATCATGTTCAGCTTTCCAGCTAATAATTTGATATTCAGAGAGATTCTTGTCCACAATATCTGGTACATTTGCCACTGGATTTTAGGTTATCCTCCTGATTGATTGCCTATTTCAATTTACCATCTTATTTTCAATTGTTACTTTTTCCTTCTGAGACTCACTGTACTACTGACTAAGCAACATAGGTGGAGAAAACTATAATTTAAAATGTATACACTTAATTCATCGTTATGTAGTAATGTAATACTGTGTTAGCTGATCACTGTGTTTAAAATTCTTGCTGCTTGACCTGAAGCTTCATGGGCCAGTTGTGGAATAGAAAAACCTAGATCAGCTGATTGATTTTCCGGAGTCATGTAAATGCTGTCTTGCTGGACTTGGTTTGAACCAACCTCACAGTCCTCTGATTTATTCACGTTGCAGATCTTTTGCAAACTGACTGTATTCCAAAAAAGTGAGCTTTGTAGCTCACTTTGAACTTCTCTTTAAGCTCTGCAAAATGTAGATTTTCTGCTCAGAAGGAAGGCTTGGAGCAAACGAAAATGTCACAGTAACTGCAATAACAACCCTGTTGAGGCCAGATTGCAGCCTGGCAACCTGTCAGGCTGAAGGCTGAGCAGGGGGCATTCCTGCAGCGTGGCACTGCAGGCAAAGCGGAGTGAGCAAGGTGTGCTCCCTTCCCTCTTAATTTTTATCTTTCTTTTCTTGTTCCAGACCTGGTTTTGGGCTTCAGGTTGCTAGTGACATGGAGAGTAAAGATGGTTTGGAGCTGAGAAGCTTCAAATCTGACAGGTGCTGACTAGGTCATGGACGTTTGCTTAAGAGCAACCACCTGTGATCTGTCTGGTACTTTGTGTCCTCTCTGTGCAAACAACCAAGCTCACCCTCCTGGCTTTTGTTGGGTGACCCACTTACTGGGCTGTAGCACATTTACTGTGTTGGATAGGCTCTGGCATTGCTGAAGTTTAGTCTTGATCCATGAGAGGATCACTTTGTAGGAGGACCTCACTGAGACAATCAGAAGAGGGTTCATTTCCAGGAGTAAGCCCAGAAACAGGTTTTTAGCAGCAAGATTTCTGAGTCACACACATGGATTCCAAAGGTCCAGAGACACAACCCTCCATTCTTAACTTGCTTCCCCAGCAGCAGGGTAGATGTACCCGCCAGAGAGGCCAAAAGGGGAAAAGTCCTGTTTGCTTTGTCCTTTTCCCACATCTGCTCCCTGCTGTGCAGTCCCCAGGGCTGGCTCCAATGCTTGTAGGACACGTTTTGGGCTGGTTAACACACTTGAACAGCCAGTCACTGCAGTGTTTTGCAGACCTGATCTTCTGATATGCTTGTGAGTTACCTTTGTTTATGAATGACTCCAACATGTGCTGGAGCTGGCACAAGGCAGGCAGCAGCAGCTGTCCCCTAAGAGAAATTACGCCCACACAACCTGACCCCAATCACTCTGGCATCAACATCTTCCTGATTTTTTTTTTTTAATTTCATTGGCAAATTCTTGGTGAAAGTCTTTTTTCTGTCAGTGAATAGTATATATGTTTCAATAACAGAGGTTTTTAGGTACCAGCATAAGCCATTCTACCAAACATGTAATGAATTGTAACGGTCTCCTAAAAGTAAAGTGGAAAGATTAAAATAATAGGTGATGTGATGGTCAACTGAGAATAATGTGTAGGGGTAAGGTTCAAAGCTAAACAGCCTGGCACTTGGGCTTTGGTAATACAAAAGTGATGAATGTGTGAGATATTTCTGTGAGATAAAAAAATGTGTAGTGATCAGTGGATCTTCTAAAAGCATACAGCTGTTTTTCTGAAACACCTTTCAACTTGGTGCCAGTTTTTCCTAGATGACTATGATCGTTGTCTCAACCCAATGATATAAAACTGTAGGATTCATCTTGCCTGTTAAGTTTCAAATCCATTTTCCTATAACTCATTTACCTTACTCATTCTTGATTAAGGCACAGAGATTTTTCAAGTGTAACAAATGTTTAGGAAAGTTACGTTTGCTTTTGGAGCAAATTTTTGACAAAGCATGTTATAAACCTGGGTTTATTGTTTTGTTTTTGTTTTGGTTTTGGTTTTTTTTCAGAGTTTGGAGGATGAATCTAAGTGGGTTGAAGATCTTCTTAAGATGCACACTGCACGTGTGCGTGACATCGAACAGCTCACTAGCTTGGACTTCTTCCGAAAGACCAGTCGCAGCTACACAGAAATCCTCTCCCTAAAGACATACCTGCATACGTTTGAAAGTGAAATTTAGCTTTCTAACCTTACTCAGTGCATCCTTTTATCAACTGGTGTATATTTTTATATTGTTTTTATATTTATTAATTTGAAACCAGGACATTAAAAATATTAGTATTTTAATCCTGTATCAAATCTTAAATATTAAACCTTTGTGTCATTTTTTTGTTTCTCTAATGTTTAATATAGGTATGTCTCTTGGTTGATTTAGTAGTGCTTGTAATACTGCAGTTTGAGTCCTTACTCTGAGCTTTTAAGTGGTGCTGCAAATTTTGATGTGTGCATCAAGGAAATATTAATTTTCCATGCTCCTTTACCACACTTGTAGTCCTGTACTGTGTATCAAAATACTGAACATGTAAGATTACACTCATTTACTGTTAACTGTGTGACAGACATATTTAAACACTATAGACAAATAGCATCTTAAATATAATAAACCACACATTCAGTTTTTTTAATGTGTTTTGATTTCCTTTCACAGGGATATTCAGAGGGGCTTGTGGGCAGATGAGTGCTGACAGATCTCTTACTGGGCAGAGCCCTTCTAAAGAGCTTAGGTTTGCTGGTAAGAGGACTGCCAGGAGCCCAGGTGCCCTGCCCTGGTACCCAGCAGTGAGACCATAAAATAGACACACACAGTAGTCATTGCTGGTAAGGCTTCGCTATAGTGGCAGAACTGGGAGAGGAGGATGCTTGTTGTCACAGTTTACCAGGGTACCCCATGCTTGCAGCCACTTGGTCCTGCTCTGGAGCTGCGGAGAGGATTCGTGATCTGCTGTCACTGATGGGACTGTGTCACACCCTTTCTCTACCACAGCTGCTCTGGGCTGATTCCTGGAAATACCTGTTCCATCATGCTTTGCTTTGACTTTGATGGAAATTGAAATAAGGCAGATATGGAAGGAGATGACATTGCTAAACACGCAGCAGTGGGCTTTTATCTGGGAGGAGAAAATCTGATTTTTTGTCATCTTGTTCTAACAACCAGAATCTTCCACGTATTCTCTAGTCTGAGTCTAAGGCCTAATGACAGCCCTCATTCTCAAAGGAAGCCCCTTGGCCTGATTGCACATATGTAACTTCTGGTACAGTAAAGTTCATACAGTGCATGTGATTTACAGCCATCACCTACCTGGTCAAGAGAGTCAAGTCTCTGTTTGCTAGTTCTGTGCAGTAGCAGTCTCATAATCCTGGCAAGCCCCTGCAAGTGACACTGATGGCACAGTCCTAAGCCAATGGAAGAGACTGTGTTGCTTGCTGGTATCCTGGTAACGGCCTGATTTGGCTCTGGCAGCTTTTGTAGAAGGTATTTGTTGTGGAGCATTAGTGTTAGTGTAGCTGGATGATGTAAAAGATAAATTATTGTTTAAAATGCCTCTTGAAGCTGAACCCACCAGTGACACTATCGCAAACCCTTCTTTTGGGCTTACAGCTTTCCCTCTCTCTACAAAAGTGGTTTTCTATTTTCTCTTTGGGGGGTTGCAGATACTGGAGGAAAACAGGAAGGGCTAGAAAGCATCTCAGCCATGTACACGGATGAGTGGCCAGGCTTCCTAAGTAAAATTAATCTGGCATGATTTCAGCAACTTGCATCCCTGTAGAACCCATCTAAGAGAAAGTAGTAAACTGGAATAAATTGTGTTAACCCAGATGTAAAGTTCTTGTGAACAGTAGACAAAAATTCAGTATTCTAGGTGCCAAGTTGTGTTTAATTTAGAAGAGCACAAAACTTGAATGCTTTAAAATATCCCCCAAAATGTTAAGATGGAAATTCTAATAACTGCACAAAGCTCTGGGAAACATCCTATTCTTGCAACTTAAAAATTGTCTCTTGTGGTTGTCTGGTAGCATAGAAATATTTTCCTGGAAGCTTTTGGCAGGGCTTCTTGCCATGATAAACTTTATGTTCTTACATGTACTACAAAGGGTATTTCCTCTGGATTTAAAAGAGTATTCAGTTAAGTCCTAATTCCTTCAACACCAACTTCAGTGATGATTTAATGTCGTGGTTCATAAACTAAACTGAAGACCACCACTACTGTTTTGCTTTAGCATTAATCTGTTGCTCTGTTTTCTGGGTTTTTAATTAAATCAAACAAATTATGTAATTATTTTCTTTCAAAAATAAGATGACATTTATACCAAAGGAACTTTAAAAGCTCTAAAAAATATTCTTTCTGTGTTCAGAGAAGTTTGCTTTTGAAATACGGTTACTGATAATTGCTGGGAGAGACAGTTTAGCTTTCAGTCTCACTAAAGAATGACCATTAGTGTTCATTTTTTTTTAACTCAGTTGTTTATTATGACAATAAATACTAGTAATTTACTTCTGTTCTACCTACCTCTCTTCAGCCCCTGACCCCATGCTCTTGCAGGGTATTGCTGTTTTATTTTATTGTGCTAGCAGAAATAACTGTGCTGGGAAATGTTTGTGGTGACTTCTGCACATTGCATGGGGTACTTTTCCTGTTGAAAGATGCCTTATCAACACAAAAGCTCCAGTGCACAAAAGCTCCAGCTAAAGCCTTTTAAATCCCTCTAAGCAACATGAGCTCTGCAGGAACAACAGACATTTTAAAGGAAACTTGTAATTTGCCTTTGGCATTCCTCGGGGTGAATGTTAGCTTAGGGCAGAGGGAAGGAACCCCTCTGCTTTCCATTCCTGTTAGAACATTTTGAAAACATGAAATACTACTTGTTTCTGTATCCTGAATGGTCTGTACCATCTTGTGAAGGTTTGGCAGAATTCATAGGGGTATAGTAGGAGTAAATTTAAATAACTGTATTTAATTAGGCCAATCTTGCTGTGTCCCTGGAGGCTGCTCCAAAGAAATCCTGCCATAGTCCCTCTCTTCTTAGTGCTTTAAATGCAAACAGTTGGTCAACTAATTGTGTGAAGATTTTAAGACTTTAACAAATGAAAACCCATGTGCACTTCTTGTAGGAGAGGCTAGGGAACAAAAGCACTGATAAAGAGAGAGGAGAGGAAGTTTCCTGCTTCAGGAGACAGAAGTTGAACAGTTTGAAAGCCCAGGAGATGCTGTTAGAAGGGAACTGGGGCTGGAGAAGATTTATTTGGCAGGTTTATGAAGTCCCTGTTTCCCCCACATCTGGCTTCTTCTGATGGATCAGTCTCTCACACACAACAGATGAAATAGCTCTCGAATTCCTGTACACAGCTAGGAAGCAGAAAACTTCCCAGGAAAGCTGAAGGAGTTCCCCTCTGAAGGTGTTGCTAGCTGCAGGAGCAGAACTGGAACTTCGGAGATGTCCAGCCTGGACAGTGAATATAGAGTGCAGAACTTCACCTGAAAGAGATAAATTTGTAGCAGCAGGAACTGATGTACCAGCAATCCTTCCCTTCAGTCCCACATCCACGTAAAATATCTTCAATTACCTTTACATTTGCATTGCATTTCTGTGCAGCACCTCTGCTCTTCTCTGCAGGAGACAGGAAATATTGCTTGCAGTGCAATTGAGAAAATTCCACTTTTAATTTTTTTTTTTTTTTTAAACTGGCAAGCCCCTACCTGCAAAGGGACAACTGCACTTGCTCTACCCTGTGAGAGAGGGAGAAAAACAAGCTTTCTCAGAGCAGGGGAGTGTGTGGGTGCTGCAGAGCACCATACAGTGCTAATGTGCCATCTCCTCTCTGCTCCATTATGGTGCTCTTCCAATGAGTTTGGCACGTATGTCAGTGGGATTTATTCTGCTGGCTTGGCACAGAGAGACAAATGAAACTTCACTACCTCTGTGGGAGGCTGTTGTTACCACAGGCATGGATGAAACTGGCATGGAGAGGTTGAATAGTAGGTTTAAGGGCATGCATATAGTATAGCCAGTAAAGCTGGTCACAGCATTCCTGCGTGGGCTTAATATGTGACATTTTGAAATAATTTCTGATAGTGCAACCACTGGTGGGAGAGCACAGGATAACTTTTGTAAAGCAAAAGCCTTGGAATCGTGGCTGAAATAAAATATGAATACAGGGCAATAGAAGCAAAACTCACTTCCTTTGGGGACAATCAATCATGCTGAATTGGTTTTCTGTCAATCCTGTGCATCAAAATGCTTTTGGTAGGCCTAGTTCTTTACCAGAGTCCTGTATCTCCAGAGGGATGCTACAGTACCTGTTTGTCCATCCTGTCTGAAGTCCTAGTCCTGCTCGGTTTCGTGACTAGTTTCAATTTCCCTTGCTGCTGTCTTGGTCAACTGTTGCACTTGACCTGAGATACATGGTATAGTCATGAAAATACAAGTTTACTCTGACCAGGATAGACCAGCAATTGATTAGTACAGCACTAACTGTACGTCTTCCAAGTGGTAGAAATATGTTTGAAATGTTTAAAGTTCAGCCCTCGTTCAAGACGGGATAAAAAAAGGCATTTTTAAACATTGTGGAAAAATACCTAATCTCGTTTCTTTGCACTTGTTGTGTAAATACAAGATAAGAGCAGTATTCCCAAGGTTACTGCAAACAGCCTGTCACTACAGAGTACAAACTAACATTTACTAAAATGTATGTTGACACAAAAAACAGCATTGCTGCAGTCAGCCATGGTAAAAAAACCCACAGATTTCTTTGCCCTTACTACAAGTCAAAAGTTTGAGACGTAACTTATTCAGATCTGCCCCTACAGAGGAAAATCTCTGTCCTGCTTATAGCGTGCACAGTATGTGCGCAGTTGTTCTGGAGCCTTAACTTACCACCTTGCCTTATCTGCTGTTTTCTAATTACGGCAGGAAAAGGCAGATGGAGGTCACCCGGGTTTCATCTGTGGATTTCACCATGGAGAGATCAGCAGGCAAAGAAGTTAGTAATTGTGGGTTAGTACAGCTGTAACTGATTGACCCTACAACCGGAATTTACTAGAAAATAGGTGGGATTATTTGACATCATAAACCCTCAACAGAAAAGGATTTAATCCTTTTCAGGGGATATTTTCCTGAATTTTCTTTTTCTTGGCTGTGTGCAGCAAGTAGAAAATTATTTCATCTGTTCTACGTGAAGGATTGATCTATCAGAAGAGGCTGGACACAGGGGGAACATGGACTTCATAAACCTGCCAAATAAATCTTCTCCAGCCCCAGTCCCCTTCTGGCAGCATCTCCTGGACCCTCAACCTGTTCATCCTCTTCTGTTTCCTGAAGTGGGAAACTTCCTTTTATCTCCTTACACGTTTTTGTTTTGGTTTATTGTAGTTGTTTGGTTTTTGTTTTGTTTTGTGGGTTTTTTTGTTGTTTTGTGGGTTTTTTTCTGGCCTCCCTGTTTTATTTCAGCTTTGATCTGTTGTCATCTGCAAATTGCTTTAGTGTTAGCCTAACCAGTGCCATTTCTGTGCATGTGCATATCTCTACAGTGTGCACTGCTACCATGTCTTAGCTCTGTTAGGTCTTACACACTCCTTCTGCAGAAAGGAGGATGTGGAGGATCCTGATATATACCCAGTTTCTTCTC